ACTATTCAAATTTTTCCACGGGGAATTTCTGCAATGAATCTGTAATATACAAAAAGAGGTGCGAAATGGTCATTGCAACACCTCTTCAATTTTTTACTCTTTCTCTAAGGTGTTAAATTTTGGTTCAATTTCGGGATAGTGTAACTTAGTCGTCTGGCGCCCTTTTGGGGTGATCTTTTTTTTCACTCTTCAAATTTTTCCACGGAAAATGTCTTCAAAATCGGTAATTTATGAAAAGCGGTGCCAAATTGCCATTGCAACACCTCTTCCGTTTTTTACTCTTTTTCGAAGGTGTTAGATTTGGTTAAATTACGGGATAGTGTAACTTAGTCGTCTGGCGCCCTTTTCGGGTGATCTTTTTTTTCACTCTTCAAATTTTTCCACGGGGAAGGTTTCCAAAATCTGTAATTTAGGAAAAGCGGTGCGAAACAGTCATTGCAACACCGCTTCCGTTTTTTGCTCTTTTTCGAAGGTGTTAAATTTGGTTAAATTTCGGGATAGTGCAACTTAGTCCTCTGGCGCCCTTTTGGGGTGATCTTTTTTTTCGCTCTTCAAATTTTTCCACGGGAAATGTCTCCAATGAATCTGTAATTTACGAAAAGCGGTGCGAAAGGGTCATTGCTACACCTCTTCCGTTTTTTACTCTTTTTCGAAGGTGTTAGATTTGGTTAAATTTCGGTATAGTGTAACTTAGTTGTCTAGCGCCCTTTTTGGGTGACCCTTTTTTTCACTATTCAAATTTTTCCACGGGGAATTTCTGCAATGAATCTGTAATTTACAAAAAGAGGTGCGAAATGGTCATTACAACACCTCTTCAATTTTTTACTCTTTCTCGAAGGTGTTAAATTTTGGTTAAATTTCGGGATAGTGTAACTTAGTCGTCTGGCGCCCTTTAGGGGTGATCTTTTTTTTCACTTTTCAAATTTTTCCACGTAGAAAGTCTTCAAAATCGGTAATTTCTGAAAAGCGGTGCCAAATTGCCATTGCAACACCTCTTCCATTTTTTACTCTTTTTCGAAGGTGTTAGATTTGGTTAAATTACGGGATACTGTAACTTAGTCGTCTGGCGCCCTTTTGGGGTGATCATTTTTTTCACTCTTCAAATTTTTCCACGGGGAAGGTTTCCAAAACCTGTAATTTACGAAAAGCGGTGCGAAACAGTCATTGCAACACCTCTTCCGTTTTTTACTCTTTTTCGAAGGTGTTAAATTTGGTTAAATTTCGGGATAGTGTAACTTAGTTCTCTAGCGCCCTTTTCGGGTGATCATTTTTTTCACTCTTCAAATTTTTCCACGGGAAAAGTCTCCAATGAATCTGTAATTTACGAAAAGCGGTGCGAAAGGGTCATTGCTACACCTCTTCCGTTTTTTACTCTTTTTCGAAGGTGTTAGATTTGGTTAAATTTCGGTATTGTGTAACTTCATTGTCTAGTGCCCTTTTGGGGTGACCTTTTTTTCACTCTTCAAATTTTTCCACAGGGAATGTCTGCAATGAATCTGTAATTTACAAAAAGAGGTGCGAAATGGTCATTGCATCACCTCTTCAATTTTGTACTCTTTCTCGAAAGTGTTAAATTTTGGTTAAATTTCGGGATAGTGTAACTTAGTCGTCTGGGGCCCTTTTGGGGTGATCTTTTTTTCACTTTTCAAATTTTTCCACGGAGAATGTTTTCAAAATCGGTAATTTATGAAAAGCGGTGCCAAATTGCCATTGCAACACCTCTTCCGTTTTTTACTCTTTTTCGAAGGTGTTAGATTTGGTTAAATTATGGGATACTGTAACTTAGTCGTCTGGCGCCCGTTTAGGGTGATCTTTTTTTTCACTCTTCAAATTTTTCTTCGGGGAATGTCTCCAAAACCTGTAATTTACGAAAAGCGGTGCAAAACGGTCATTGCAACACCTCTTCCGTTTTTACTCTTTTTCGAAGGTGTTAGATTTGGTTAAATTATGGGATACTTGTAACTTAGTCGTCGGCGCCCGTTTAGGGTGATCTTTTTTCACTCTTCAAATTTTTCTTCGGGAATGTCTCCAAAACCTGTAATTTAAAAACGGTGCAAAACGGTCATTGCAACACCTCTTCCGTTTTTTACTCTTTTTCGAAGGTGTTAGATTTGGTTAAATTATGGGATACTGTAACTTAGTCGTCTGGCGCCCGTTTAGGGTGATCTTTTTTTTCACTCTTCAAATTTTTCTTCGGGGAATGTCTCCAAAACCTGTAATTTACGAAAAGGGGTGCGAAATGGTCATTGCAACACCTCTTCCGTTTTCTAATCTTTTTCGAAGGTATTAGATTTGATTAAATTTCGGGATAATGTAACTTAGTCGTCCGGCGCCCTTTTGGGGTAATCTTTTTTTTCACTCTTCAAATTTTTCCACGGGGAATGTTTCTAAAAGAAACCTCCATGACATGAACAACACAATATCAACAAAAGCCAATCTTCTACAAGCTGCACATAACTAAATTAACCTTAACCAACACCAAAAGGAGGCGCAAACAAGAATTAAAATTAATTTTTTTCGCATGTACCAACTAATGCCAAATTAAAACATCACATCTAAAGTCAAGAAGAAGAAGAAGAAGAAGAGAAACCTGCTCTTTTCATCACCAGTTTTAGGGAGGTCACCCTGCTCAAGTGCATATCTATCGAGACGTAGATGAGAGTCAAAAGCCAGAACTTTTTTGGGAGCACTATTGAAACTGTTTATCTTGTGTCCAAAGTATGTGTACTGATATTTGTCATTTTTCGAAGCCTCTGTAACTCTCCTGGCCTACAGGAGCGAAAATATCAAGATTAACGTGAGGAACTTGGCATGAATTTCTAACAAGACAAAAAGTAAGACAGTAATCGCTGAGAAACTGTACAATTCGACATTGAAAGTTACAATGCATCATGTATCTGAATGAGTGGACTATGTTTATCCCTTTAACCTTTCAAACCTTGTAATTTGCCTCAGCAGGGTAGTGTTTAGGTGCAGGGAACAGCGAGACAGGTTCCCAATGTGCATGGGTGAGATTTAAGCATGGTAGACCAAGAAGCAAGTATGATAGTTTGACAATGACTCCAAATACAAGGGTCATCTGATTCTGCTCCTTATGAAAATATGCCAATGGTTGTTCATATCAAGATAAGATGAATGCTTCACAACATTTGATAGTAGTTCCTACTGCAAATCCCAGACTCTCTCCAAATAAAAGGGCCATCTAACTTGTATATGAATGGCTTTAACGACACAAGGAGAGATTATTGTGCATCATTGCATCGGAAAGAGTCATCTCTTGAGATTATTTTTTCCTTACTTCAGTCAGAAGAGAGCTTTGTCACGGAGGCAAAATAGAGAGTTCACACCCTGCAAAAACACTAAAATAGTACCAAATTCAACTCGAGCACTTTTGCTGGAGAAAATTGGAGTTGCACTCAAAGATCACCAAATAGAAGAAGCCTGGGATATATTTAAGGATTATAGAAAGTCATATGATATTTCCAATTGTTCTCTCATCAATAGATTACTCACTGGACATTCGTACTCATCTGACCCACAATGGCTACGCAGAGCTTGTGATTTAGTTTTCAAGCACTGGAAGAGAAAATCAAACATTTTTCATGTCAAAGTTCTAGCTAAGTTGGCTCTCTCAGTAGTGAGAGTTAAAATGCCCGTTCCTGCCTCAATGATCCTCATCTTGCTACTGGAGAAGAAGTATCTACCACCCTTTGACATATTGAATTAAGTACTACTGCATATGGTTAAGACAGAGATTGGGACATATCTTGCATCCAATCTACTGTTTCAGATGTCTGATTCTTACCAGCATATAACTGTACGTGGTAGCAATCTTCGAAACAAGATGAAGTCTAACACAAGCAACTTATGGTCTATCAGGAGTACAGAGGATCATCGTAAAATTCACCAAACAATGCAGACTTATCTATCAGTTATCATAATAACACTGAAACTGTCAACTTTCTAACACTAGAGTTCAGGCAAGAACTCCCAGCACATGCAACTTTGTTTTTAGATAAAAGTGCTAGGCTTTCTACTGAAATGTTCTCCGTATTACCATAAGTCAACTTACGTGTCAAATAGACAGAATATAACTAAATTTTGCTTGGATGTATAATTTTACAGTAATGCCATACAGTAAGATCTCCTCAACTTCAAAGAAACTGATATGGCCTACTTACAGAGATCGTAATTGACTAAGTTTTCCAAGCTCCGGCGCCAGCGGCCCTTCCAAAGAATACCCAGTCAGGTCCCTGCAAGCTCGAGAAGATCGGGAAGCTAGTCTCCTACGCGCCCGAGATCACGGTCCAGGTAGAGCAGGGCAAGATCAGGAATTTGGGGGAAGATCAAGGAGCTCACCGGGAAGATCACCTTCAAGACCCCCGTCGGGCCGTTTCGGATTTTGGGGGAAAACCACGCCCGTGAAACAACGAGTCCCTAAATTAGGGCATCGAATTTTGGGGAAAAATCACACCCGCGAAACCCTCGTCTTTCTCCAGAAGACCCGGAGAGTCATTCACCGACGGAGAAGAGGGCAAAGAGATTAAGGGGAAGAGAGAGCTGAGCTCCGTCCGACGCTCGACTGGTAAGCCGCTCCTTCGTCCTTCCTCACGGTGTCCGCCTTCAAGATCGAGGAAGAAGTGAAGGAAATGAAGAGAGAAAAGACCGAAATAGTAAGATTTGGGAATAGGGATTATAATTTCTGTTTTAGCCTCTAGGGATCCCGGTTCCTAGTTCCGGTTCCGGTTCCGGTTCTACCCTGGAACCACGCTCACCCCTACCCTAAACCCTAAACCCGAAGCCCCAAGCCCAAAGGCCCAAGCCCTAAACCCTAAAGCCCCAGGCCCCAAGCCCTAAGCCCTAAAGCCCTAAGCCCTAAGCCCCAAGCACCCAAGCCCATCTCCCAAGCCCAAGCCCTAAACCCTCAACCCCCAAACCCCAAACCCTAAACCCTCAACCCTCAAACCCTAAATCTTGAACCCCTGAACCCTCACCCTGAGCTCTAGTACTCCAAACCCTAAACCCCTAAAGCCCTACCCCAAACCTTAAACCCTCAACCCTAAATCCCAAACCTTAAACCCCAAACCCCAAACCCCAAACCCTCAACCCCTAACCCCAAATCCATAAATCCTAAACCCCAAACTAGGAATAGGGACTTTGCAATGCTAATATTTTTATTAGCGCCTTTTCGATACCGCTAACTTATAAGTGTGTTATCTAAGTGACCATTCACTCTACGTTACCATTTATGATCCTATGGTATCAAAGCTGCTAAGTGATCATGCAACATATTTTTGTATGTTTTCATTGTGATCCTGAGCTAAACCTAACATATTTTGGGAAAGTGATTAACATCCAATTTATTGAAAGACGGTGCGATAAGTAAAGACACAGGTATGGAAAGCAGCTAGGTAACGATACATAAATTAAGGACCCGATACAAGTCGGGCAAAGAATATACTTGGCCTCATTATGAACCTTGAGACATGATACCTCGAAAGCTTGAATCCCTAACTATGGTGAGCTTAAATCTAAACATATGATGATGGTAAATTAATCTAAGCCTTTCTAATTGCCTGTATAGAAAGTGAATCTAAATATAATTTTATTTTATTGAACGGAGACCGAGCTAACTAGTTTATTTGAACCTAAGTCCAATAGCTAAACTAGCCTAATCAAAACTAAACTAGCCTAAAGCAAGCCAAATTAATTGTCACCTCGGACCACCACTCTTGGCCTTCGGTTTTCGGGGAGTTCATAATCACCATCCTCATTGGTCTCGAACATCCATCACATTCGACATTCACATCATGCAAACAATCAAAGTAGCCAATGAGCAGGTTTAGCAATGAACAAATAACAAAGCAGTCCGACTCAACAATCTAAACTTTTCTATACTATTCAATTAACCCCAGCCTCCTTCTAATCGAATTAAAGGTTCATTGAATAGAATTGACAATTAATAGCCCCCACTTGTGTGCACAACGCAAAAGGCTACCATCGTTAATCCCCTGATTAGCTTCTAGTCACCTTTCTAACCAACCCACCAAGGAGCATGAATCAAAATCTAACACGCATCTAATCACTCATGTCCGAAATCAAGTAAGACATGCAAAAGGCACATGAAACTTCCCAAACAAATGAGAACACTAATTACACCCAAAAGACAAGAAGTAGCATGTTCGTTACCAATTTTCTAATATTTTAATTTCGAAATTTTTTTAAATATTTCTTATCAATATTTTTATTATTATTTAAAATTTAATTAATTGATCCGAAACTAGGGGTCCGGGTCGGGTCGCTGAACACGGGCCGGGCAAGGACCGAACCCAGGTTCCCACGCTGGGCTGTGGAGCAAACCGAACTCTTGTATCGAGTTCGGTCCACCCAAGAGAAAGGCCTAAGCCTTAAAAGCCCGAAACTAGACTGATCCAAGCCCCCAAGAATCTGTCCAGCCCGGCCCGACTAAGGTCTAAGCCAACCTCCAAGTCTTTTTCCTAGCAAGCCCAGCTCAAAGCCCACTTTTTATTTCCGATTCAACTAGCCCATCTCTTCGAACAGCATGCCCGAAGCGTAATTCCCCTAGCAGCCGAGCCCGAAACCAGCTAAAAACTTCCTCTTAAAACGTCCGGCCTCACGGGGCTTGCCTTCAATCTGCCCGACCCGGCGAGTCTGGCCTCCAGTGGGCCAGCCCAGCCCCTAGTTCGGCCGACGGCTTCTCTCGCTATTCTCCATTTCCGGCAACCAATGTCAATGACCCTTAGAATCAGGTTGTCTCACCTTGGCGAACAGGGACATCCACTTCAACTCCCACCAGTGATGAAACGATGATATCCTTGTCTCGACCTCGAACGCCAGTCGACAGCCTCCACTCGATGCCTCCACAACCTCCGCCACAGCAAACCGATGACCACTCTACAAGCACAAAACAGCGAATGCACGAATTGGACGAATCCACGCAAATGCCAAGCCTAGAGAGCGAGGCGTTGTTTCCTAGTCCTCAAGCAATTAGTTACACTTTCCCAAACTTTTGCCCAATCAAACTTCTTTCCAAAGGACACATAATGGGAGAGGTGTTTTAATAGCCTTTTTTGTACAAATTTCTACTAATTTTTTTATTTTCCATGAATTTCCAACTTTATGTGGAATCAAAAAAAGCATCGCCCGAAAAAGATGTCAGAGTAATGATTTACACACTTTCCTGACCCAATTAGATTTCTTTTAATAGGAGAAATAGGGGGAGATGAGTTGTAATGACTTTTCTTGTGCACAATCTTCTAACTATTTCTTATTAGCCATGAGATTTCCGGGGGAAGAACAGCATTGGTGCCAAAACTTGTGTACGGATGCCACTTTGGTGCCAAAAGTTTCATTTGGATCACTTTAGTGCCAAATCGGAGGAAAAATGATCACTTTGGTGTCAACGGCGAGAAATTCCGGCCAAATTAATACGTGGCATTTATAATTAAATTTTTAATCTTAGTTGGATTTTTTTTTTAAAAAATTAGTCTACGTGGCATTTCCACGTATATATTTCGATTTTTTTAATACTTTTCTGAATTTTTTTCTTTTTTTTCTTCTTTTCTTTTTTTCTTTTCTTTCTTCTCCCTTTGTCACCGCCGGTGACCGGAGGCCGGCCACCGGCCGCCTGGCCTCGCCCGGACGAGGCCGCCGCCGCCCGCCACAGGCGAGGCCCGGCGGGGCGACGTCCGGCGGGGCCGCCGTGGCTGGGCGACGGCCGGCCTCGCTGGATCTCGGCGAGGAGCCCTCGCCGGGGCTCGCCCTCGCCCATGCGAGGCGAGGCCGACCTCGCCGGGCTTGCCCGCCGTCGCTCCCAGGCGAGGGTCGGCCGGGCCTCGCCTCGTGACGGGCGGCGACGGCCTCGTCCGGGCGAGCCGGCGGCCGGTGGCCGGCCTCCCGGTCACCGGCGGTGACAAAGGGAGAAGAAAGAAAAGAAAAAAAGAAAAGAAGGAAAAAAGAAAGAAAAGAAATAAAAAGGAAAAAAGAAAAAAATTATTTAAAATAAAAAATGCTGACTGTGCGTGCTCACTGTATCTCCGGCGAGCCACGTCGGCTTCAAATACTAATAAAAAATTGCCACGTCAGATTTCCGACCAATCATATCAGAGTTGGCACTTAAAAGATCGTTTTTCAAATTTTTTGGCACTAAAGTAATCCAAATGGAACTTTTGGCATCAAAGTGGCCTCCGTACACAAGTTTTGGCACCAATGCTGTTCTTACCCCTGAGATTTCCCTTGTAAAGTTATGTAGAATCAAAAAAGAAATACCCAAAAAAGATGCCAGAACAAGAAGTTACACTATCCTTAAGCGTTACCTTACCCAATTGAACTCCTTTCAATAGGAGAAATACCGAGAGAGATTTTCCAATGGCTTTTTTTTAAAAGTTTTCTAGTAATTTCTTATTTGTCATTAGATTCTCTTCGGAAAGTTATGTAGAATCAAAAAAACATCGCACGAAGGAAATGACAAAACAATAAGTTACACTACCTTGAAGTTTTGCCCAATCTATATTCTTTCAAAAGGAGAAAAAACGGGAGAGGTGTTCTAACAGCTTCTTTCACATAATTTTCTAGGATTTTCTTATTTGCAATGAGACTTCCCTTGGAAATTTATGCGGAAGCAAAAAGATTGCCCGAAAAAGATGTGAGAGCAATGAGTTACACTATCTCTGATTTGCATTAGATTGTTCTGCTGAATATATAAAAATAGTACATGTGACTTTAAACTTTTTAAAGAGCATCTTCATTGACTTAGAGAAAGAGAGAGAAAGACCGACCATGGTCTCTTTTCCTATTATGTTGAGTTTTTAGCTTACATCGATACGACAAAAGCAATAATTGTAGCTGCGCATCATTTAATTATAACGCAAGGAAATTTATGGACACGTATAGGAAAATTCTGGACGGGTCTCGTTCAATCTTAGCCGTTAGATTAAGAGAAAATAAATATTGACCGTAAGAGGAATTTTTAAAGTAGTAATTTACGAAAATATAAGGGAAATTACTGGCCATAAAATGGTCAATGTTACTATTGAACTATAAAATGATGACCCTTAAATTTGCGAACAGCAAAAAAGTGTTGTGATCATCGGGGTAAGTTACTAAGAATAAAGATACTGTCGAAGTTACGAACTCTAGAAAATTCAACTTTACAAGGTTCAAGGAAAATTATTATATTTGTATAATGATTACTGATTTGTCATTCACAATGGCTCATAGGAAAATTACAATTATTGAGGAAAACTATTTCGTATTGGTAGCGTCACCTATCACAATTATGATATTTTACTATGTCATCTTTCAAATTATGAACTCTATAGTCAAATTACATAAATTACTAACAATAAGTTAGAAACTACGCAAATATTGATGAATTACGAAAGTAAAACTTTATATGACCAACCTTACAATGAATTCAAGAAATTACAACAAATTTCAGGGAATGACTTTCTTGGTAATCTTCTCAAAGAGTGTGTCACGACTTATCTATAAATGCTTAAAAAAAAATTTGGCGAAGTGGTTAGAGATGCATTGTCCACGACCGTCAACATAGACTTTCAAAATAGCAAACAAATATTGACAAAAATGCGACATCTCTCTCGTTTGGTAGAGTTTCCTCTCTCTCATGGGTAGAGCTTTTTCTTCTATCCCTTCCATGGTGATAGTGATATCAAAACCCTAAAACCCCTTTTGATTTCTAGCTTGTTTCCTCCCTAATGGACAATCACCTCATTTCAATCTCAGCTGTCGAGAGTTTTCTGCATCTCAAGCCTTCAATTTCTTCAATCCACCTTTCGCCCAAACCCTAAAAATTTCACCAAACCCATTTTAGCCTTTCTACCTACACCAGTTATCCCTTACCCAATACCCTGGCCCGAACAGTGTTGTGCACCTACAAAAACCCTACTCTTTAACAGAAACTCCCGGTAGTTTTTTCCTTCTTGGCTCTTTGCTGTTTTGTCCAAAACGACTATTTCTTCTTCCAGTTTCAGAGCTCCCTTCAATCTATTTTAACCTTAAATATTCTAAAACCTCTGAAACTCAATCAAGTGGAAGCTGGCTCTTCTACCATATGTGGGCTCTCAGGTGAGTATGCTACAGTAGACTGCCGTGAGTCTCTTTCCCAGTTTCGCACCCTAGTCAAGCTCCCTGTAGTGTCCCTGCAACACTGTAAGATGGAAGGTGAGACTGAGAATGACTTACGCCTAGCTGCTTTGTGTAAAAGTTTGGGTCACTTGTGGTCGAAGGATGATGTAGTGAATTTGAGACGGGAAATTCCTTTTGAAAATCGAGTGGAGTGCAGCCTTACTTTGTATGGTAAACTTTTTTCGAAGCCCAATGTAAATTTCCAAGCCTTCCTTAACACAATGAAGAAGGCGTGGAAAACCGAATTAGTGGTCTGCAACCAAAAAGAACCGGGTTTCTTTTCATTTGTCTTCGAATCTGAAAGTGACAAAGAAAAGGTGATACAATCAAGTCCTTGGTCTTTTGCTAGCAATTTACTTGTTCTTAAACAATGTGAGCCGAATATCCCCGACCATTGTTATGATTTTACACAGTATGCGTTCTGGGTTCAAATATTAGGAATCCCACCTTGATGGATCCTGGAGGATGTTTATTATGACTTGGCTGAGAAGGTGGAAAAGGTGTTGGAAATACAGTTAGAATCTAAAGGAAATGGACCCTATAAAATGGGAAAGGTGAAGGTTGAAGTGGATTTGTTAGCTCCCCTGAAATCTGGAACTATAGCGAATCCAAGGGAAAAAAAGTTATGGGTGGAATTTAAGTACGAACGCCTTCCACATTTCTGCTATTCATGCGGGAGACTTGGCCATTATGCATGTGACATCCCCGATTTTGGACCTAGGAAGCCGAGGGCTAGTAATAAATGAATGAGCGGGGAACTCAAGTCGAGGGTCGGTAATGGAATGGACAGCATGATCGGAACGAGTGTACTGAGGGTTGGTCATGGTTCGATCGAAAGATTGTCCATGAATTGGCCTAGGGATCGACAGTGGAATGACTCCCTGACTACGCAAATGATTAGAGTAATATGACTGTGGAGTGACCCATCGACCATAAGGGCCGTTAGTGGAACGGTCCGGGATAACTGTGGATCAGTCCGGTGTCGGCATGTGTCGGTCGCGGGTGATACCGCACGGCCATGCATTAGTCCCGGATGACCATGAGTTAATTCCGGGGTACTGGATTCCACGAGGCTACATGACAACCGAGGGTCGACCGTGGGTCGTTGATACTCGAACGTGGCTCGGTCACGAATCGACCACGGATCGTTGCGTTGAGTTGGGTAGGCCATGGACGAGACATGTGCCAGGCCATGTGCCTAGTGGCTTAGTCGCGGCCCGGGCAAAATTGCCAGTCTCGCCAGCCAAGGCCATGTGCTCGGTCATGACCAACCATCGTGCCCGTCAGTTAGGCCACGGACCGGTTACGTGCCCGGTCGTGTGCCGGCCATTGTGCCCGACCCTTGCGCCAGGCATTGTGCCCATAAGATCCAGTTTCGATCTCGTCCCGTGCCCAAGAAATATGGCCATGAGCCGTGCATCGTGTCATTCACGGGCCGTTGCGCGTGTTTGGCCGTGAACCGATCCCTCGCTCATGTGACCAGGCGTGGTGCTCGGCACGTTGCCCATGCGGCCGGCAAGGCGCTCGGCACGTCGCCCGTGCAGCCAGGCAAGGCGATCGGCACGTCGCCCGTGCAGCCCGGCGTAGCGCTCGTGCGGCCCGGCCATAGCGCGGCCATGTGCCCGTGTGGCCCAGATGCGTGCCCGTGTGGCCCGATACTGCGCCCGGCCACGCGCCCGGTCAGGCCCGGCCATGCGCCCAGCAACCCAATTTGCTTGGACTTGTTCCATTTTGCTTGGGACTTGGTTTGGTTGTGTTAGATGATTTTTGGGGATATTCTCACATCAAACCTCGGGTTGAACGGGCCTATTAAGTGTGGACAACCCTTAGAAAATTTGAGAATAGTATGATGCGGGGTTGCGATTATAGTGCCGTTTAGCCGGTTTCGTGTAAACCGATTGGCCCGAGAATATTTTTGTGTGAAACCAGCAACTTAAGAGGCTCCCACGGTTCAGATTTGCTGAGGAGAAAGAGACAGAATTTGTTGACTTGGTCAAAGGTTTCATTAATGCCATTTAAGCCTTCATTATTGGACCCCATGAGGTGTCCCTCTTCATTTAAAGCCTTTGGGCTGAGGTGTGCCATGCATTTAAGGCACTTTGATGACTCAATGGCCATCAATAATGGAGCACAAGGCAAGGCCAATAATCGGCCAAGCCAAGGAAGAACCGAGAAGGCCATTCGGCCAAGGGGGAAAGAGAGAGAGAGAGAGAAGCCGAGAGGGAGAGAGAGAGAGAGAGATTGGGCCAATAATGCTTGGATAAGCTTGGCTTCTTCATCATTATTTTTTGCCTTAGTTCATAAATTTCATTTAATGCATGTCATGATGATTTTTGACTTAGAGGCCCCTCTATTATTGCCTTATTCTAGGATGTTCTAAGGCCTCTATAAATGCATGGAACCCCCCCCCTCCTTCTTTCTCACGCCAACATCACCATCACCTTCTCCTCTCTTTGTTTCTTATTTATCTCACTTCTTGACCCGAGAAGCCTCACGCCCAAGGAGTCCCGAACCGGCCCGTGTTTCTCCTCGTTTCCGCCCAAGAGCCCACGGTTTGGCCTTTGTGTTCCTAGTATTGGTCAGCCAAGCAAGGAGAAAGCAAGGAGAAAGCCCGAAAATCACCCGAGCTCACCCGTCTCTAACATGATCTCTAGTTCTTGTTAGTCGTTAAGTAAGTGAATTCCCTAATATCGGGAAAGGAAGTTGCGATACGTTGTAACATGGGTTGCTTGGCCCGTTTCTTGGTTTCATGGTTGATTATAGTTCGTTCTTTCTCGACAAATGATGCTCACGTGTGATGCTTATGTTTGATGTTTGTTTTGTTGGTTTCGTAGCACGAACTTTGCTATTTGAATTGCCATCGATACCGGTACGGTAAGAGTCGACTTGTGTGAACGGCGATTGTCTCGTCCTCGCTTGATATTAGAGTTTTCACTTATTGAGTCCTTTGACTCACTCCCGTTGTTTTTCCCTTTTTCAGGTCCGTAGATGGAGACTCCCCCGACCCGGTTTGGAAACCCCGTTGAGATGAGAGCGGAGTTACTTACCGTTGTTGATGCCCGAGAGAACCGCGCGCACCGTCGTATTACTACGTATGTTATGGTGGATGAGGGCCGCACAGAACTAGTCCCCCACCCGTACGTGGCCTGGTATCGGCTAGCAAATGGCGACTGGATTGGACCCCTTCGTGGATTCGAGGGGCCATTCGGTGGCGCGGGTGGGCCAGCTCCGGGGCAAGCCGCGGGCGGGGTGTAGTTCGGCCACCGGACGGGGGAACGGGAGCGAGGAGATGGAGGAGCGTGGAGCGAGAAGCTAAGGAGTAACCGTAATGGGCATAGGCAACCAAGCCAAGTTTTGTTTGTTCGATAGTGGCTTGTGTCGGAACCGCCCTTGGAATAGGCATGTAAAATATATGCGTGGCTTGTAAGGGCCCGTAAAGAAGGGCTCGACAAAAATAAGCACGTATCATGTAAATACAACGTGCGTTGTTTGCTTATCTCACTCCCGTTTGTCTCGTTTATTGTTTATTTGCTTCCACGTGCGCATTTGATTGTTTAAAATAAACGGGACGAACTAATACATTTCCGCGAGTCACGGGTCATGTTCGGTCATTAAGCATCAATCGTGATTCTGAGTCGGGACGTGACAATGCATCATACTGTGAAGAAATTCCTTACGAGTAAACAAGGTGGACTGAAAATAGAACAGGGAAATATGGCCCTTGGCTCAAAGCAGAAGTGCGTGATCGCAGCCCTCACTGGGAAGCTTTTTATGGAAAGGTAATCCCCAACTATGAGGAAGAAGAGTATGTCCCTGAAACACCAATTCCATCGGCCGAAATGGACATAGTAGCGAGGGGGAAATAGAGCAGTTTGCAGCCCCTGTTCGCAACAAAAAAAAGAGCAGAAAGTCCCTCGCTTCAGGGAGCTTATGAAGAATCAGCAGCTATTTCAGAAAAGAAGGAAGGCAATAGAAAACAATTAATGGCTTTAGAACCACTTAACTCTTTAATATCAAAAGTTTCGGCTTTCAACAGCAAGAAAGGACAGAACAATCAAAGGATAAAAAAATAGAAGAGGCTAGAAGGCTCTAGCTCTTCAATATTAAAAGACATAGAGCTTTTGGAAACCCCTATCCAGGTGGTGCAAGAAGGGAAAGAATGGGCTTTGGTGGCTAGCCCTAATAAGCCACCAGAGACAATATGAGGATTATGAGCTGGAACTGTCAGGGGCTGGGCAATCCCTTGACGTTCCAAGAGCTTAGAGCCTTAGTGGCTCTTGAAAGGCCCAACCTGGTTTTCTTAATGGAAACAAAAAATAAGGAGTAGCTGGTGGACCGGGTTAGACGGCGTCTCAAGTTCCCAAACTCGTTTTTAGAACAACCGGAAGGTATTGCGGGGGAATTAGCTATAATGTGGAGTGAAGATGTTGCTTTAAAAGTAGTGCTTAGTTCCAAAAATCTTATTGATGTGGAATGCAAAGATCCAACCAGTGGTAGTCAAATGAGGATAACTTTTCTTCATGCTCCTACGAATTTTAGAGAGAGACTTCTTCTGTGGCAACAAGTACGATGCACCCAGGTAAACATTCAACTCCCCTGGATTTGTATGGGTGATTTTAACGAAATCTTGTACAATTGGGAGAAGGTTGGTAGGAGAGAGGCAGAACACCACAGAATATGTGCTTTCCGTGAATTTTTAAATGATTGTTCGCTAATGGACATAGAGAGCAAGGGATGCGCATACACGTGGGCCAACAATAGAGGAGGAGAGGACCTAGTCAAAGAGAGACTGGACAGAGTTTTATGCACAATGGAGTGGAGGATTGCTTTCCCCAATGCAGAGGTTTTAGCTCTACCAGCGGTAGGATCGGATCACAGCCCACTTCTGCTATCTCTACACCCACCATACAACAAAAGGAAGAAAGAATTTAAGTTTGAATCGTTTTGGTTAGATGATGAAGAATATGGAGAAATAATCAGAAGAACATGGCAGGAAAACTCGTTGAATCACAGAAGCTTCTTAGAAAAAGTCCAAGATACATCCAGGGAATTAGCTTTATGGAGTAAAGGAAAATTCTCCAATGCATCACACCAAATCAGGGGGCTAAAAAGGAAGCTAACGGAGATAACCAATAGAGCATCCGGAACTTCTTGGAAGGAGGAGACCCAAGATATTGTGGATCAGATTGAAAAGCTGTGGAGACAAGAAGAGATGTATTGGGGGCTGAGATCTCGGATTAATTGGCTCCAATGGGGTGACAGGAACACAAAGTATTTTCACGCCACGACGGTGCAAAGAAGACAGAGAAATAGGATTACGATGATGAAAATTGATGAAGACAACTGGAGTAGAGATCCCAATGATCTCAAACAACATATAAGGAACTTCTATCGATCTCTCTATGAGTTGGTAGGTCCGAGGAATTTTCAGCCTGTTCTAGACCAATGCCCCAGATTGGTTAGTGACGAGATAAATGATAGTTTGATGGCAACCCTAACCTTAGAGGAAGTAAAAGATGTTGTCTTTCAGTTGGGTGCATTAAAATCCCCTGGATCTGATGGACTAAATGGCCAATTCTTTCACCATTATTGGGAGGATATCAAGATGGACTTGTTCCACTTAGTTCAGAATTTCTTTGAATCAGGTACTCTCGACCTTCTCCTAAACAAGACGCATATTTCACTTATCCCAAAGATTAAAAATCCAGAATGCATCAGCCAGTTTAGACCTATAAGCCTTTGTAACTTTAGCTACAAGATCATATCTAAGGTGTTGGCTAACAGGCTGAAACTGTGGCTTCCTGAGTTAATAGCAACAGAACAAAGTGCCTTTGTCAAAGGACGGCAGATACAAGATAACATTCTAATTGTTTAGGAAGTGTTACACCAATTAAGGATAAAGAAAAGAAAGAAGAATTTTCAGGCTATCCTCAAATTGGACATGCAGAAGGCTTATGATAGAGTAGAATGGGACTTCTTGAGAGCGAGCATGTTAAAGATGGGTTTCTGCGAGCGATGGGTTGAGTTAATCATGCAATGTTTTCAACTGTTTCATTTAGTGTGAAAGTTAATGGGGAACCAACGCAATTTTTTCTACCTTCACGCGGAATTAGACAAGGAGACCCACTATCCCCATATCTATTCATTCTAATGGCAAATATTCTCTCTTGGATGATGCACAAAGCCATTGAGGATGGGGATCTCAAAGGAATCACACTCAACAGGTATTGCCCTACATTGTCACATCTATTGTTCGCTGATGATGCTATATTTTTTCTGGATGGGACAGTCAGAGAATGCCAAAATCTGGCAACTATGTTTAATCAGTACCGCTTTGCAACGGGCCAAGTCATTAACCTGAATAAATCGAGAGTTTATTTCAGCAGTAGATGCCCACCGATCCTCAAAAGGAATATGGCACATGAGCTAAGAGCTCCGACCATAGAAAAAACAGGGAAATACCTCGGCATTCCATCCGAATGGGGTAAATCGAAGAAGGAAATGTTTGCTTGGATTTTAGCAGGAGTGAATATGAAGTTAGAGGGATGGAAAGAAAAGACTCTGTAAAAAGCAGGTAAAGAAATCTTGATAAAAAGCGTGGTGCAAGCTGTACCTCAATATGCTATGTCAATCTTTAAAATTCCTAACTCTATCTACAATGCCATTGAAAAAAGAATTGCGTCGTTCTGGTGGAAACAAAATGCCTCAATGAGGGGAATGCACTAGAAGAAATGGGAAGTGCTGAAATCCAGAAAAGATGAAGGGGGTCTCGATTTTAAAGATTTACAAATTTTCAACAAAGCTATGTTAGGCAAGCAGGCATGGAGACTATCTCAAACCCCTTCAGCATTATGGAGAAAAATCTTAAAAGGTATCTATTTTCCTGATGGCGATTTTTGGAAGGCCTGAAAAGGGAATCGCCCGTCCTGGGGTTGGCAAAGCATTATAATGGGAAGAGAAGCCATAGAATTGGAGGTGAAATGGATGGTAGGCGATGGTAAGTCTATTAAAATTTGTGAGGACAAGTGGCTCATTGTCGGTACGATTGGGGGTCCAGTGAACAAGGATGATCTAGTAATGGTGGCAGAATTAATCAATGAAGAAACGAAGGGATGGAATGAATCCAAAATCAAAAATCTCTTTGATGATAGTATTGCTAATGAAATCCTATCTATCTCCATTGGTCCCAGCCTAAAGGAAGATAAATTATTCTGGACAAGGAACAAAACAGGTGCCTACACAGTAAAGAGTGGCTACAACAAGGTGTGTTCCATGATCACAAAATCAGACATAAACAGGACAACAACATCATTTCAGCCTCCCATAAGATTATGGACAAAAATATGGAATCTGTCGATCCCCCCCAAACTGAGAATTTTTCTATGGAGTTTATGTCAAGACGCCATACCAACGAGAGAAAATCTCTTCAAGAGGAAAGTATTACCTGACCCGTTGTGCCCCCTCTGTGCAAGTCATCCAGAGACAACCGAACATCTCTTCCTGCTATGCGAATGGACGGAAAATATTTGGTCAGATCCGAGAATCAGCCTCAATGTAAGCACCCTCAACATCACTAGAATAGACAAATGGCTTCTGGATTTTTTCGAAGCAAAGAGGGACTCACCCAAAGAAGAATTGTTAGCAACAGTGCTATGGCTGATATGGAAAAATCGTAATGACAGCATCTTCAGAGCTCGGCCCACAGAAACCCTCTCCTTAATCGACGCAGCTCAGGCACAAGTAAGAAGTTTTAGCCGCTGGAACCCGAAGAAGATAAAAAAAACACCCAGCAAATCAAGAGTACCTGTCTACTGGATACCTCCGATTGGAAGCTCCATGAAGTTAAACATGGACTGCTCGTGGGTGGATAGCGACAAACCGAGTTCAATTGCAGGAATCTTACGCAACTCAAAGGGGATGGTCGTCGATGGCTTCGCAAAGGATGTCCGAGCTTCAACTCCTCTGCAAGCCGAAGCCCTAGCTTTAGTGCAAGGACTTTTGTTTCTAAAACAGCGAACAGAAACGCACGTGGGTGAAGGACAAGTACAGAAAGTGCAGTGGGAGTGTGAGAGCGACAGTTCATCCTTAGTGGAGATGGTGTTGGGCCGAGAAGAGCCCCCTTGGGCCTTGCGAAATATCTTAATTGAATGCAATGATCTTTTAGCTCAACAAGCTTCAGCGAAATTAAGCCATTGTCCTAAGGAGGCCAACCAAGCAACAGACTAGATAGCTAAAGCCCATCGTACAAGAACTCTTCCTCCAAATTGGGTGTCTTCACCCCCCCAGCTCCTTCGGGATATTTTGTTTTCGGAGACTTGTTCATTTTCATCATGTAGACCTCTTTTTTATGAATGAATGAAAGTACCTCTTAAGACCAAAAAAAAAAAAAAGAAAGACATGAAAAAAAAAATTAACAAGAAAAATTGTGTGTTGCTTATTTAAAAAATGAATGAATATTTACATGATGAATTATCAGAGATAATTTATTTCATAAACACAATAAAGGGCATACAGGGAAGAGAAAAAAATAGAGAAATTGTCCAAAAGTCCTAAACCTATTATTCGACAGTCTATTCAATTCTAAACATTTCAATTTGGCTAATTTAGTCTTAAACATTTTGACGATTTTTCAATGTAGTTCATCCGGTCAATTTTTGCAAGAAATAGCTAACGTGACGGTTTTGTCAACGTAGGCCATCCTACATGACATGATGGACTCTGACGTGGATAATTTTTATAATTTATTTACATTTTCTATTTTTTTTCCTTTTCTTTTTTTCCTATTTCCCTTTGCTTCTAATGCTTTTATGTTGATGTCGATACTGATAATACAATAGACTAATTATAATTTCTAGCTTATAAGAAGTTGCTTCTATCCTCAATGCCCCACACAGTACTGGTGTTTAGGCGAAATTTTGCCACTATAATATTAGATCTTTAATTACGTAGAAAAGCAATTGATGACCACGTGTTGCGTGTATGTCAAGAAATTGACATTTGAATAAATAGAACCACATGAATCACTATAGAGTGAAAGAACTTATCGACACTATATAAAAAAGTTCATTCATTTATATACAGAAAGAGAAAATATTTGTTTTTGGTCGATAAAAGAGGATATTTCTGGAATGGAATTTTTCTTGGATAGGAATGATTCAAATTTCGCATAGGAGAGAATTAACATTTTTGACCATGGATTAAACATTTTTTACAAAAATTCATTGAGGATGTTCGGGGGGAAACAAGAAAATTGAGATCCATTGCTACAGAAGTGTAGATAATCAATGAAGTGATAAAATTGAGATCCATTGATATAGAAGTGTAGATAATCAATGAAGTGATAAATTGAGTTAGGTAAAGCCGCTTACTTTTCTTATTAAGTTTTGGCGGCCAAGAATATGACAAGGTAAATAGGGGTAGTTGGGTTAACAAAAGAAGGCAAATTGCATATGGAGGAGAGACGCGGAGGTACAAAATTTTGTCAGCACTCGATGGCATATCTGCACATCCTCGGTGGGAATGAATAACGATCAGCAGCGCCTCTCTCTCTCGCTCACCTACTTCAACATTCAACTGCTTCGAAGGAGGAGCCGGGAAGAGGAGAGGAGAGAAGTCTGAGAGAGAGCGTGTGTGCGTGGCATGATGTCTCAAACACTGGTCGGAGGCTTTTCCTCTTCGACCCTCTGGCCTCCTTCCTCCAGCAATTCCAGCTGCGGCAGGACCCAGTTTCGCCGGCAGCTTCTCCTTCTCCGACGCTCTGCCCAAGGCAAAACCTTCTTTCTTCTCTTCTTCAATCATCCTCCATCGTCTCTCCCTCTCTCTCTCTCTCTCTCTCTCTCTCTCTCCGTCCGGTAATCCCTCTTGTTTTTACTTCTTACTTCAGCTCGTGCCATTCATTCCCCACGAACAGCTAAAATTGTTGCCTCCAGTGTGAAAGTTCATTGCTCTGGTGAAGATGACAACGTAAGTGAATACAATTACATACCTCTAGTTCAAAGCCAGTGAAATCGTTCCGACAACACTATTAACATTTTGCATTTTCGCAGACTTTAACGGTTGTGAGTGGGGGCGGCGTCTCCGTCATTCTTTTGGCTGGAGGGAAGGGCAAGAGGATGGGTGTAAGTCCCCTCCTTCTTCACCAACCTTTTCCAATTCATTCAACTCCTCCTCCCTCCCAAGTCCTTCATTTATTGGTCCAATCCAATGACATCATCAGTCTGGCACGTCACAGACCCGTCAATCACTTCATCCTTGATGCTAGGATGACTTCCTTAATATTTCCGCTTGTACCTTTTATGCTGTGGAAATGTGTTCCTTTTGATCGCCGATTCCTGTAAGCTGCCTAATGTCGCATGGAAAGGTTGCACATGTCGGCGTTAGGCCCATGCATTACTATCTTTCAGGAGTTATTCTATTATGACTTGTTTGCATTTGTACTGCTGGTATTTGTCTAGGCACATCCGAACAATATTTGGTGCCTACCTTTTTATTGCTTCTAGTTCTCTATGTTTCATCTTCCAGATGATGATTATCTTCTGTTTATTAGAATAGGCGAGCATGCCAAAGCAGTATCTTCCACTTCTTGGCCAGCCAATTGCTTTGTACAGGTAAAGGAAACTTGCTCATATTGTAGGCCTCCTATTCTAAAGAACCTACAAAGTGCAATCACCCCTTGCCTTTTCTGAGAGAATCCTGTACCTCCATTTGGACCGAATAGCAAGAAGTTGGACTTGGTAGAGCATTCTCGTTGGAAGCTGATCCTTGCCATTTCTAATCACAATATTCTTCTTTAGTGGCACTGATTATGCTTATCAGTACCTTGGATGAGCTAACACAACTTATCTATGTCCATTGGCATAGTTCCTTATAGTGCTCATAGTAGTTAGATATATACCAGAGTTCTACTGTCTTTTCTGACCATTGTTCTCCAAAACTTAGTTTCATATTAATGGTGCACTTAGAAAGCTTGGTTGGCACATTAAGCAACATCATACCCATTGGGTGTTGAGTGCTCGTTGGTTCCTAAATGTCCTTTGTTTTCTTTTTCCTCTTCATGTCTCCATGAAGTCGAGATTAAGATCATGGCTCTTCTCTTGCAGCTTTTATACTTTTTCACAAATGAGAGAGGTGAAGGAAATTATTGTAGTTTGTGATCCATCATACAGAGACATATTTGAAGGTGCCGTGTCTCACACCTTCCTCTCCAACTGCATTTTTTATCTATCTTCAAGTGTGTTTGCTTGGTAGGCTCTAATGTTCTTTTCTGGTGTTGTGTTTGTCCTGGGTCATTTAAGGCACGCTGTTTCCTTCTTTTTGCTCTAGAAGATTTGCAAACCAATTTGTTCCTTTGTCTTAGACACCAAAGAGAAGGTTCAAGTGGATCTTAAATTTACGCTGCCTGGGAAGGAGAGACAGGATTCGGTGTACAGTGGCCTTCAGGTGCGCAATAGTGCTTTCTTGTCAATAAAAGCTTAAGATTTGCTTCATTTATTTTGTTGTTTGCGTTTTGTAATGGAAGGCTTCCAATGTTTTCCTCTTTCATTGATTTGACACTCGTACTGTGTAGGATCAACTTACTTAATTAACCTTGCAGAACTTCTGATGTAGCTGTTCCACCCGTAGTTGTCATTGGACATTGGAGTTTCTTGCTGCTGCCAGCACTTTGTTTAGTATTTTTGTGTTTCCTTTGTCTCTCTTTTGCATGCATTGTATTTTTCATTGTTCATTTATACACAACAGAACTGCACTTGGCCAACATATTACTAAAAGTGCCCTAGTGGCAATGGCCAGTGCAGGCGTAGCAAGGGTAGATCTTGAAACTTTAGCTTTAGGGAGGTGGAAAAGGTAGTGTCATGATAACCGTTCTACTTACTAGGTGCTAGGGTGAGGAGGAAGTGTTTTTCTTCTTTTTGTAAAAGGAAGAGGAAAAGTTAAAGAAACTAAGATATGCGGATGGAAGATGTTTTCTGAGTTGCCATCCTTCACGTGAGAATAATGAAAGAACTTGCACATCTTATATCATGTCAATGTGTTAAATACATGTATAGTTTCTCAGTCACACGTCTGGTAACACTTGGCTCATTTGACCGTGAAAAATTGTCGTCCACATTTTTTCGGTGAAAGAACGAAAGAAAATGATTCCACAAAGAATTTCGATTTCCCTCCTTCATACCTGTGAACTCGATTTTTTGTTTCCATGTCCATTTGTGATAGCATTCTATTTTATATGCATTGCTTTGTTTTTGTATTTCATAAGACTAAAATCTGATGCATCCTGTTATTATGAGACAGCAAATTTTCTGCACTTTGTTTGCAAGAAGGTCTGAATGTTAGTAGATGCTGACTCAAACATTGTCATGCATCAGCTTATTTTCCTAGTCACCTTGTATTGAAGATAACTTATATTTTATTGAAAAATCCTTTCTGAATAATACTTGTAACTCTGAATTTAAGGTTGAACAAGCTTTTATGTTCTTTCCTAGAGATGATGGTTTATTAACTTCCATTTGTGTGGAACATTTACCTTCAGGCAGTTGCTAGTGGGTCTGAGCTTGTCTGCATTCATGATTCTGCAAGACCTCTTGTATCACGTGGAGACATAGAAAAGGTCTGATTGCATTCAACATTTTTCTTTACCAAGTATTTTTGCTGACTTAAGGGGTCCATGATACTCTCATGGGAAGCAACTGGGGTTGATTTTGTCAGTTTGTCATTGTGCGAAAGCTGAGACAAATATCTAAATTTGTGAGGTTGATATTTTATGAACGTTTCTTATCAAGAAGATGCATGAGAAAATGTGTATCTGGTCTATCATTCTTGCCAGAAGGGGAAAGAACAACCAAACTGCTTTTTTTCCTTTGCTAGTCCTTGTAGTGTGCCAAACTGCAGCTCTTTATGGTCATGCAACCAGGCTTTCAAACCTTTCCTCTCTCCTTAGAAAGTTTGATTAAAATTCTATATATTTATTCTTAGGAAGAACCCTTCTCAGTGATTCTACCAGCTCAGTTCACAAGGATAGTTTTCGAGTCTCCTATGGAGTGATGGGGGGTCCTGCATATATGTGGAGGCCAAGGATGTATAGCCAGCCAATTGTGTGTGGGGTCACGAATTGTTTTTGGTTTTGTTCAACAAGCTCTTGATATAAAGAAGAAAGTCTTTTGTTTTCAACAGTTTCATTGAGGCTTCCTATTTCCTTCATGATGAACGTGAATGGTAATCCACCTTTAATCTGCCATACAGGAGATTGTAACTGAGGTTGCATCGACATTGCATCAACAATACCTGTTGCATAGACTTGACTGATGTATGTGCTTCACCCCCTTGTCTGGTCTGGTTGGGGCTTCACTTGCCCAGTCTGGCCTAAGGATTAGTACAGTTTATATGGCAAAACCTGCATAAAGAAAGCAGTGCGGCTGTAACCTGAAGCTGATCCACGTATTGAGCCAATTGGCCTAGCTAGCTTTTGGCTTACATCACTTGGCTTGAAGCTTACTCAGCTGGCTAGATCCTAAAACTAGATTATCCAAAAAAAATTAAAAGGCTTTGTAATATATATAGAGTTATTTGCAACCGAACTTGGTCTGGCACAATTATATGGGATTGCTAGAGTATGCATGCGTGTGTGAGCTTGGAGCATTTTCACTGACGTTATTTTGTAAAAGTCACCACCATTGTATGCGAAGTTTCCTTCATTATGTACTGATAGATTTGTTTTTTCCCAAAGGTGAAAAACACTTAAGACCAGGGGGTCAAAATCAACAGTTAGCATAATCCAGCCGGCCCAACTCACAACAGCTGTCTTAGAATGTCCCTGTCCATGCTTATTCTTTCAGATAAATTAGCTTTTAAACTTTTCAATTGATAGTTGAAATGGAACTTCTTACGTCAAATCTTATATAAAGAACGGATAATGTAATTACACAAGGCTGAATTACTTCTCTAGGATCACAATACACCGTTGCAGATACAATTAATGAAAAAGCTTGGCTCAGTTATATTCTGAGACTTTCTTGTATAGCAGGTGCCATTTTTGTCTTTGCAGTGGTTAGATGCATATGTGCAAAGCTCTTTCATGTCTCTCTTGTTCACATTGAATTCTATTTGAAATTGCATCACCAGTTGACCTTTTTCTACCCATATTTACTCTTCATTTTGTGCAGTTCCTTCGAATATATATGCATTATAATGTGAGTGTTGGTATTAATCTTAAGTTGCTTTTGTTTATAGGTACTTAAAGATGGCAGGGAAAATGGAGCTGCTGTTCTTGGGGTTCCTGTTAAAGCTACCATCAAAGAGGTGAGTTTTTCTGGGTCCATGTAATTGAATGGCATCTCTACCTCTTGTATTCTTTTCTTTGCACAGCTTCCTACTAATCTCTGGTGTTTCTATTGTACTCAATCTTTCTTGGACAACTTGTTCTGCTGGTAGTTTTCATTGTTAATGCAGCCAGTAGCCTTTACTGGTTCTTTTTCTGCTTTCAATTGATGCCTTTTCTCTGAGCATGAACTCTTGCCGCGAGGCTTTTCCTCATCAAATTCATTGTATCTTTGCACATTACATTGGAATATCTCTTGTTGTGTATTCGTCATATATGTCTTTATTGGCTCCCAAGCTAATTTTGGCTTGTAAATCTCTGAATATATATTTGGTCACTTATGGGAAGTCGTTTTATTGTGTAGTGCAAGTGTGCATGAATGTGCATACATGCCCTGAAGCATTAGTACACGTTGACCTCTTTGTCCTACAACTGCATCATGATAAGCGTCATTTTTATATGTCGGGATGAACCTCGGTTTTAAGAATTGGCAGCACCATTGATTCTGCCTGTTTCTGCAATTAATGACATCACGGTGGCCTTTACATGTTCAGTATGTACATATCTGATGACTACATTTTTCATGTTTCTCCCAAAGTGTTTTCATAAAAAACTTTTTTTTTTCCTTTGATTACCAAAAAGTAGACATGAGGTGTGAACGTGATTGTTTCTGTCAGTTCATCTACTGAATGGTGGAATTACATCAATCCTTTACAGGCAAATAGTGAATCATTTGTTGTGAGAACTCTGGATCGGAAAACACTTTGGGAGATGCAAACACCTCAGGTTTGTTTTCAAGGAGATAAATGCTTGAATTTGGGGGCCGCTTGTGACCAGCTCTCTTAATTTGTTACAGGTGATCAAGCCTTCGCTGCTTAAGAGAGGCTTTGAGCTAGTCAATAGGTACTCAGTGTGCACTTTCTGCATATTCATCTCATACTGTTGGGAAGAGAATCATATTATATGAACTCCCTTTGTTTTTGTTATTTCATATCCCAATCTCTCAAAGCAAAAGAAGGCTGTTTTTATTTTTATTTTTTGTTATTGTACTCTTTTTAATGTTGGCACTGCCATAAATATCTGAAAGTTTGAAATGCTGCATTATTGGGCTATGGATGATTGGGTAGGATAACCTAACAGAAGCAACATCATTATAATGTCTTATTAGTATCTCTTCTGAAGGCAGAAGGGAGTGATTCTGTTGCAGAATTTTGCACCATGCTTATTTCTGCTTGGCATGATTAAAATTTTTAGGCTTCAACCCTAAAGAGTGTTTTTTTTTTTTGTCAGAAACCCTAAAGAGTGGTTAAACCTTCTCAAAATAGAGGTAATTAAATTACGGTGACATAGAATATAGACTTTGATGGCAGACGTCCTGCATATCCTCTAGGTCCTTTATCCCAAAGAAACTGATGTAGAAGGAGCTAAGGTTCACAATTAGACTGTAAAATCAGTCGAAGGAAGTTCTCAATACCGATTGCTTATGCAGTTGCTAATGGTGAGCAACTTACAGGCTGTTGTGATTGAGATCATCTCGGAGCTGTTGTAATCTGGAAAATCTCTGAAGAACAAAAAGGGAAGTTAGAATAAATGATTGGGCAATGGACAATTCTAGCATACCTCTAAAGTTATTTGGTGGCTATTATTACAGAAGATTTGGAACTAAATGTAAACTCCCATTAGAAACTCCTATATCACTGATGGCTCGAGAAGGTGGTGGCTAACCTGGTTGGCCCATGGCTCTGAACAACCATATTGCACATGTAACTTTCTGAGTATAGTGGGTTAAGAATGGTAGGTAGGTTTTAATCAATCCAAGTCCCACATTGAGGAATGTAGAGACTGTGAAGTGATGCATAAGTGGAGACAGATCTCGAAGGTCACTTGAGGGTACTCCTGTAAGTGGGTTTCAGTATCTGACCAGCTGTAAGTTCAGCGGCACACTGAATTTGAGTAATGCTTAGCTAGGTGGCAGGCGCTTGTAGGCGTGAACTGACTTTCAGTGGGCAGTCTCATGTGGGTAATTGTGCAACCTTGTGAGTATGTGAAAATATGCATAGGCACCTGCATATTGTAGTGGATTTTTTCTTGATGTCCGATTAGTTGATCTAATTATGTTTACGGTAAAAGCGACTCTTTCCAAACTTGATGCATTGTTTGTAGTATGTAAGAGAACTACCAGTATGTACTCTAGCTCTAGTTTTCTGATAATGTCCATGATATGTTCCCATACTAGTCAGTATATTGGATTGTGTATAGGTGAAGGAACTCTTTTGGAGATTATTTGATGCCATAACTTTTGAATAATCACTATTGACATTACATTGAATGGGATGCCATAAATTACAGAGAAGGCCTTGAAGTGACGGATGATGTATCTATCGTGGAGCACCTCAGGCATCCTGTATATGTCACTGAAGGATCTTACACCAACATCAAGGTGAAAATCTCAAAACCAGCATTAGTTAACCATACTTTGAAATGCTTGAACTATTGAATCCTTGGTGGGACACTTTTTTTTTCCCTGAATGGTGGTTGGATACTTGTTACTCTATCTGATTGCCTATCAACATAGTAGTTATTGCCTTTCAGGTCACGACTCCTGATGATCTGTTACTAGCGGAGAGAATATTGAACATGGACGTCGGAGGGCCATCACCATAAAAACTTCCCAGATTGAACTGTTTGGCGATTTATCCAAAATCAAAATTGAGCTGCTCAATTTTAAATGATATAATTCTTGCAGCAAGAAGTTCCGAGCAACAGGACAGCAACTCAAAAGTAACTTTGTTAGGACACTTGAGCTTGATACAACTTGATGGGCTTGAATGGTTTAATGGGCTAAATGATGGTAAAATAAACATGAGAGGGAAATGTTTCTCATGGGAGTCCCTCCTCAATTTAAGACATCTTGGTTTCTTTGGAAAAAACGCAGATGTCACCTCATACTGGATGTTCACATTTCATCTTTAATTACATGGAACTAACATGAAAACTTTCGAATTAGGACCCCACCGCTCTCTCTCTCTCTCTCTCTCTCTCTCTCTCACGCACATAGTTTGCAAGCTCAATTCTCACCGTCTCAAACCATCTAATCCACCATTTCCATGAGAAAGCCCTAACTGCCATTTCTTCAAACAACTCCCGAGCAAACCAAAAGAATTACAAGAATTTCAATCTCAACACCTTCAAGACAGTCAAAACTAGAGCGCATAGCAAATAAAAAAATTGCTCGACCATATACAACCCCCGAACTTGCCCAAAAATAAAGTAAACACGCAAAGAAATCGCGCAAATTGCAAAGAAACATGAAAATTAAAAATCTTGAGTAGGATAATAGAAGCAACTGCAACAAGGACAACAACATACTCAGCGAAATCGACCAAAATGGTGAAGGCAAACGCCATTAAAATGAGCGAGACAACTTCTGCACATTGAAAGAACTAGCATTCTTTGCAAGAACACTCAGCAACCGGTGGAAGAGGCGGAAGTGGGAGGCAACGCAACTCTCTCGTCGACACAACGACGTCATCAAGAACGAAGACGAGGACCCCAATGACCTCGACTACACCGAGGATGCCAACACTAAGAATGCCAACCCTAGCGCGAGCGACCACAACCACAAGGCCACCGATCCGAGGCCAACGAAGACCAAGGTTCTCTTAAAAGCTAAGAGCTAGTAAGTGGATTATTAAATGGGTTGAAGACATTCGACCAAAAAAAATACGAGTTGAAGACCCACTTTCAACCCATTTGTTTTGGGCTTCTTACGTTAAAGCCCATATTGACTTATATTTCGAACTTGAAGTGGCCCATATACAACTCATTTCATTATATGATTTAAGATATGAATTTGTATCCAACCAAAAAAAATAGATATGAATTTGTGACCTATTTTGACGGATCTACCCTACTGTTAAAAACTTCAATCTTGTAGACTTATATGCTTATGCTCCCTTTTGGAAAATCTGCACTCTCATTAGATTGAGGCTTCAGCAAAATCTTTGTTAATTGTTTCTCCCGTAACTCGCAGTGAGCTTCAAATAATCTTCTATTGAAGCAAAAATGGCCTGACTTTTAAAACAATATCCACATTTAAAAAACGGCAATTGAGGACCTAAATACACAAATGATACCACGGGAAAAGGAAAAAAAAGGCAACTTAAATGTGATGCTACTCATCATTTGGTCTTCTTAATTTGCTTTCCGAATTTGCCTTCACGCATGCACTGAAGAATGAGAAACCTCCATTTCTGCGCGAGCGCATGACAGTCCTTTTGAGCTGCATAATGTTATAGAGTACGCATCATCAGAGTATTGCAAACACCGTCTGTATGCAAGCATATAAATAAATCCAAGAGCTCACCTTTCCCCTTCTCTGAGATCTAGTGTAATTCCAGCATAACATCCTGCCACAACCTTCATTTCCTGAACCAGACTCATAAACCCTAAAGAAATGCCAGCATTTAGAAAACATGTGTAAGTTCAGATCTAGTGTGAACTGAAAGCATAGCAAAATCAGCAGTGCACCATGTTGAGTAAACATGTGTAAGTTCAGATCTAGTGTGAACTGAAAGCATAGCAAAATCAGCAGCGCACCATGTTAAGTATGCCTTAATTCAGACACGAGCATTCTGTAAACCTCCTCGCTCTAGTAATAAGTTAAACAATGTGGTTAATGATACTTGTGATCCTTTAAGTTATTCACAAGACAATTAGGTGGCTATCTTCTGACGTTCTTCTTAATAAGTGCCCCTAGAGCACTATGAAAATGAAATAACACTGTCCAAGACACTCTGAAAATGAAAGAATTACACATTCAGATAAATCACTTACTTCAAATAGTAAATTTTTAATTTCTAAAGCACATTCAATAAGGCTTTACAAGTGCCTGTGGGGCACCCTTTAACATTTGCTGTCTTCTAAAGCTTTTTTCTTTTTCACCCCTGTATATCTTTTAAAGTTTATTGACGATATTTAAGGAACCAAACATCAGACTATTCATGCATTGGAATTGCCAATGGTAACAGTAATCATGCGAAGTAGGTAGAAGCGTGGATCCTAGCCAGGAGCATGCATATACGGAAGGCAGATCTTGTTTCTCCCCTTTATCAGCAGGTGATCATCAACAAACGTTTGGGAGATAACTATAACTTAACTAAATGTACTCGAATTCAAAAAACAACTTCAATTATTGAAGAATCAGAAACAGTATACAAGGTCAATGGTGCAAGTTGTCTGTAAACATTTCGGCACAATTTAGCATCTTTCTAATTATCAGGAAATCCCTTTTATGAATTTTGCGTTTGAAGAAAAAACCAGAAGTCCCATAAAGGCTTGAACAAACTAATCTTAAGTTTCTTGATTTGAGAAGACTAACATCAGAAGGTATAACTTCAGTTAACCTTCTGAAGGAGACATAGTCAACAGAACTTATTTAAAGAGCTGATTTTTGCCCCAAAGTATAGAGAATTACTAGCTTCATATAGCAGGAGCAAATCGTAAAGAGAATTATGAGAAGCTAATTAATAAGAAAATCGACTTGCACATCTAGATAACATCGTTCTTGCAGATTGTGTGGGAATTTCTTTCGCATGTTTTGTGAAACATTTTATTTTGTTTTCTATGCTCCCTGGTAACTGAAAAAAGAAAAAAGAAAATCAACTTACAGGCTCTCCTTGTTGAAATTTGCCATGAAGCTGCTATCATGCAACAAACATGGGGACATGGGATAGTGACTTTTATTAACTTGGTCCTTCTGCAAGCCCCTTCCATCAGCAATCTTCAAAACTTTGAGTTCATGATTCAGTTCACCCTCCCAATGCTGAGAAGAAAAATCTGTAGAATTGACTGATTCCAACTTATGTTGATCATAGATGCCATCTTGAGGTAAGACCTGATTCTTCTCAGGTCTGCAACAAATTAATGAGCCAGGGGTTCCTTTATCCGCAGTTTGCAACCAGGCAGTTTCTAACCTCTGCTCTCTGATAATGGACTCTATTCTCTGCATTGGGACCTCCTGCCTCTTTTCATTTGTACCATTATTCTCTTCAACCATTAACTCTGATGAACATTTGATCCCATCCACCAACTGACAGTCCTTAGAATCCTCATGCAATCCCCCTTTTAACTTGTCATCTAAATTGTTAAGGGCTATCTGGGACACTTTGGGTAACTCTTGACATGATGCCTGGTCAGCATAACCTTCAACAAATGCTTTCCTTTCTCTTTGAGTGTCCATATCTGTTCCCATTTGACTCAGAACTGGTGAATCCCCTGGATTGCCATACTTCATCAGATCCTCACCATTCGGGAGGAGGATCAGTCTAACCTCTACGTTTCGTCTCAAAACTATTTCTATGGAGTTTGTAATACTGCTCACGAACCTTTCCACTCTCAATTTAACATCTTTATCTGCAAAAGCTACATATACAACAAGAACTCCTGCAACCACAGTGAGATTACATTAGGAAAACAGAAGCAAACAAAGAAAGCACGGTCTACATTGTCAACCAATAAAAACACATGAAGTGAACACGTTAAATATGATGATCAGAGGGTACAATAGGCATCCATCATGCCCAACAAATTAGAAGGTACCTGGCTCTTACCAAATTTAATTTAACAGCATGAAAATGACACCATAAGAGAAGACAAGTCTGGTGGTGATATTTTTCCCCCTGATTAGTTATTTCTCCTCTGATCAGCTAAGTGAAGCATCAAAATAACAAGACAGAAGTGCAATGGACATCTGTCTGACCAGTTTAGGTCAACAGTGGTGAGTGTGGCAATTACAAATGATCTTTCTTTAGATTTACGTAAAAGTTCAACTTGAACAAAGTACTTCACAATCCTCAAAAGGCAAGCTAACAATTGTAGAAGAAGCTACAATGAAATTGGGGGAATACAAACTATGGTTGCGCATGGTCCCACAAGCAAATCAATGTCCAGATGTATGAAAGATTCTTTTCCAATGTTATAGACACAATAGAGAGCATTAGGCAAGGCAACACCAGGCTACTGACATGTTATCCATTATTTTGTTACATGTCAGCCAATGAACTAACGAGTGATTTATGTAGGCCATCCTAGTAGTAATAAAGCAATTCCTGGTTCAAAATTTGGCTGACTAGGACAGGGTAGACTTTGAAATGATGAGGCTGTCCTTGCGTCTTCATGAGATCCTACTGTTTCAGAAAAACTGTCAAATATAACCAGCATGGGTAGAACATCAACGGTTGATACTCGACAATCAAAATCCTTTGCATCAAATATCTTCAACTGCTCCTTAACCAAGTTTGCAACTCTTTTTCCAAATTTAAATTTCAAAAGAATACAATTAAACAAACCGCTAATCATTAAAGTTTAGTCTAACAAGATTGTGGTACACCTGCAGATAATTGCATGGGGTGGATGACGAACATGGAAGTTCATTGCCTTACCTTCAGTTTCTGAGATAGATATAAGCTTGCCATGGGCATGCAGCAACTGTCTGAGTGTCTTTGAATGGCACCTCTCTATGCAACGTGTCCATATGTCGTTCAACTTTTCCAGGCTAGTTGTTTTGAACATTGTGCCTCCGAGCCCCCCACCATGTGTGCCCCTGGTTCTGAAAGTATGATCCTTGATAAGTGACAATACAGTCCCCTGATGACAGGGAGTTGAATGTGCTTCTTCAAGCAAAGACACAGGAGAGGCAGATTCACGGGGTGCGTATTTAGAATCTGATTTTCGCTTGTAAGAATTGTATCCTCTAGAAGCACTTGATGGATCTTCGGTTGTCCTAGAACTTTGCTTCTGACTGCTGCTAGAATGCAAAGCTTCTAGTGAAGGCACAGAACCAAGTTGCAATAATGTCGCCGTAAACCAAGTTGACCGTTCACTCGAAACTCTTAACTGTTTCTCTGCCTCTGAGAGAAGCTTCAAAGCATGCTTTAATCTCTCTAATTCAGATTCACTTACTGTACATAAGCCAAAAAACATATAGTTATTAATGTTGTAGCTATGGAAATCTACACACTTATAGGAGGTCACATGCCCTACGACATTCAAAAGCACATGCAGGTGCAAATTTGCTATATGTAACAGTGACATGGTATCACAGAATTAATCAACCTCTTCTGAAGGGAAAAACGCAAAGAAGTATAAAATTGTTCCGCTTTCCCAGAAGTACGACATCATAGCATCAATGCCTGACTCAGAAATTCAACAATCATAAATGCTACAGATAGATGAGGGTCAACCGTGCTTGCAGCATCTAACACTATCCAGTTTTATCCCCAGTGAACTTGGTAAAGCAGGAATTTATTGCACACCATGAAGTGAATTAAAATTATCGTAATTGCAGGCAAGAAAACAAAGCATAGAAAACTAGGGGGAGAAATGAAATAACTCCTAAGTGCTTATCCACAAGCACTTTAAAATAAGCTATGTTATAGAAGGCCGAGGAGCTAACCAAGGGGGTAAATAGCATGGATGAGGAATTGAGCACAAGGGCTGCTGAAGTGGCAGCGTGTTCAAACCCTAACTCGCTTGAGGTCTGGGTTCAAATCATCAACCTTGCACGGCCTCGTGGGGCCACCATAGGAGCCTAACCATGTGTGTCTCCGGTGATTACCGATTTGTGTGGCAAGAAGGGACTGCCACACCTAGCGAGGTTTAGTGGGGTGCTCAAAAGCCCCAGGCACACCCATCTTAATAAAAACATGGTTGAGGAAATTATTGTGGCTTAAAGACAATGCAGTCATTTTAGTTTTCAAAGTTAATGCACTTTCTAGCAAGCAACAAGGAACTTGGCATAAACTTTGACCAAAGCTAAAGGAGAGACCTAAAGGTGGCAACATACTAAATAGCCTCAGCTTCTAATAATAGTTCAAAACCATATGATATGCAGCTAAACTGCAACAGTCACAACAAGGGCAAGCCAATGGCTTGATATCAATTAACAAAAGAAAAGAAGCCAATGCCTCGAGGCCTTACAAATGATTTTTGTGTAGGGGTCAGCAGCGGCTTGGTGCCACTTCAATGAAAATTTGTTTTTACCAAGTCGATAGAAAAGGCTTACGTATCGATAATCCACTCTTCAATTGATTTCAGAAAATCGGTATCTACCAACCATGGCTTGCAGCGGTCCCATGCTTTTAGGCACTTTTGTAGTACAGCCCGGGCTTTTATCAATATAGACAACACTTGTCGAGTGCATTAGGGCTATCGAAGAAAAAATAAGCAAATAGAATCCATCTTGCTAATTCTAACCTATACCCAGCATACTGGGTCATCAATTTACATAAAATCAAGTAGAATAAAAGTATCATTTTCAAGTAGAATCACATAAGAAGGAAAAACACAAAACAAGATTCAAACAAAGATTATTCTCAGTAGCATAAAACTAAGACGACAATTCCACGGTGCCATTTTGATTAGCATCAAATAACATTATCTCAGCAACAATTCATGAATTCAAAGAGACTATATTCTGTACTCACAGGTTCGAGCACCAAAAAGTGACTCGTTATAGTCGGAATCGACCATCTTGTATGTTCCAGCTATGATATCCATAATAAGACTGGCCAGCTGTGACATTAAAACCAATGGATCTACCCCAGAGTCCATGTACTCCCTGGCTCTTTTCACCGTTTCTGCAGTGTTCGACGACATGGCTAGCTCTAATAGATCAAGTAACCTCTCGTCTGAAACAACTCCAACCTATAGAAAGACATAAATTTTGTTAGTCAATTTTATCGGTAAACACCTAAAGGAGTAAAAAATTTGTCCCACGTAGAGGGGAAGGAAATGAAACTAAAACTCATAGAGGAACAAGAAATGTCGATAAAGAATTTGATATGGAACTTACAAGTTCGTTCACAAGCGATGTCGTGATTCTTTTACCCAACAAACTCAATTGATCTAACATAGTTTCGGCATCTCGAAGCGAACCATCTGCATTCAGAGCAATCAAATCCAACGCATCCAATTCGACATCCAGATTCTCGCTCGCAGAAATATTGCGTAGTCGCAACACAATGTCACTATCTTTGATTTTGTTGAAAAGGTACTTCTGACAGCGAGATTGCATGGAACGGGGCACACTGTCTAGGTCGGTTGTAACAAAAATGAAAACGACTCGACGTGGTGGTTCCTCAACAAATTTGAGAAAAGCCAGCCATACCTTAGAGGGCAACAGATGACATTCATCAATGATAAAAACTTTGGACCGCGAATGCACTGGTGGCCGAACTGACAAGTTTTTTAGCAGATGCCTGACTTTATCGATTTGTTTCTTATTGGTGCCATCGACCTCACAAAGATCTCTGCTCTTTCCAGAAATGAAGTCGGAGCACTCTTTGCAGCATCCACATGGCTTGGCTTCTTTGGTAGCCTGACAATTCAGAGCAGCAGCAAAAATCCTGGCTGTGCAAGTTTTTCCAGTCCCTCGAGGTCCTTGGAAGAAATAGACAGGAGCAACCCTTCCCCTCGAAATAGCATTGACGAGCGATTGAACCACAATGTTTTGCCCAATTATCTCATCAAAGAACATGGGCTTATACTTCTGACTCAAGCTTCTGATGTTATCCACCATAGCATCTTCCTCTCCTTGGCCACTGGTGGGAGCAACAGCCTCCAACCCATCTTGATCCCTACAATTAGACCACCGCCTTCCATCCAATCTACTCAATGCCTCCAAATCGAGCTCCCCAAAGTTTGTGGAGAGCTCATCATCGCTGTGCCCCGTTCCAACCGACGATCCTCCTCTGGCATCAGTATCGTTCGTGAGCAATGGGAGAACACCTTGAGCACTCTTAGACGCAATTCTTCGCTTCTTTGACCCCGAAGGCGATGGGCGGCGTCCACTGTACACTGATTGACTGCCACAGAGAATACTACTGCCTTTCCTCCTTATGGTGTCGGAGAGGGAAGGAGAGTAACAACTGCCACACATGCGCCTGTGCTTGGGCGTCCTTTTGGACCAGTAGCAAGGAATCCCACATCCCTGCCCTCCAGGCAAATCCAAAGGATCGTCCACCTCGTCATCACCATCGTTCACAGAAGTGGTGGTACCATCCCAAGACCCCACTGTGCTTGGATTCCGATTGGCGTGCCTATAATAGGAGCTAGTGGAGAGAGCAGGGGTGCTGTAGGTGTAGGAAGAGTCCTCCTTCCTAATGCTCCTGAGCAATATGGAGGAGGAGCGGGACCAATTATTGCGGTGCTTCAATTTTAAAAGCAATGGGGAAGCTCCAGGGATCCGCTTCAAATCCTCGGAGCGACTGTAATCGTCCGTATCGTCAGATGGGTCGACGGAGCCGTCCGGGACCAGCGGCAGTGGAGGGTGACCATTGCGAAAGGATATGGAATGGGCGGAATTCCTGGGGAGATGGAGGTCCTTGGGAGGATATCTAGGGAGGAGAAGGGCATGAGCATCGGGTTTCTTACTCCGCTTCTTGAAGGCAGAAGAGGGAGCGGGGCCAACCCGCGGGACAAGATGGGCATCTCGGCGGCGGAAATCATGGGAGGGGCGAGGGTTGTCGCTGCCACCGGCCTTGGAGTAGACAGCATTGCGGGCATCGCTCAAGCCGTCGTCTTGACTGTTGGGAGAGGAGGAGGAGGAGGAGGGGGAGGAGGGGGAGGAAGATCTGAGGGCATTGGGGGAGTTGGGGGACTTCCAGTTATACAAGAAGACGGGGGGGCTCTTGGGGTCGGCGATGAATGTGCCGGGAAGGGGACGGAGGGCGGAGAGAGGCGGCGACTTGCAGGAGGAGGTGGTTCCGGGATCCCGCAACAAGCGGGAAGCCTTGCGGATTTGGGTTAGCTCCCGCTTCAGGTGCAGCTTGCTGGGTGTGGGATCGCCATTCTTCCCCCTCATTCCGGAAGAAGCCGACATCATCGAGAGTCCAAATCTAAGAGTTTTGGAAAATGGGTCAGTCAGGATCCAAAATGCCCAATGAGCATTGGGGCCGCCATTTTCACCCGCTCGACTACTCTGCTCGACAGCCAGACAGACAGACAGCCAGACAGCCGAAGGAGGAGGAAGGAGGAGGAGGAGGAGGAATAGATCCGATCCCGTTATTACTTTGACTACCACTGATACTACCCCCCCTACTACTACTACTTCTACCACTACTACTACTACCACGCTTACTACAGCAACCGCAACAGTGGTTAATTTATTCAGATTCTACGGCTGGGCATCGGGAATAACTGCGAGTCGAGAAATGAATGGGATGGCAGAGGGAATTGTAAGTGCAAGGAAGAAATCAAACATCCGAAGTAATTTTAGGGTTTAATTTGGGGCGGGCTCGGTCGAATTGGCGCGCCCCATTCCTCTTTTTGGGAAAATTGATCTTGCTTTCGAACCATCATTTCGAGACGGGGAAAGTCGGGATCCTCCTCCCAAAAATGTCGATTTACTTCCCAAAAGATCCCCAAATAGATTCGAAACTTGCCCGATTCACCTTGCAGTGTTATTTACTAATTTCGAAAAATACATAAAATTATTTTAGATCTAGAAAAGTTAGGAGAGAATTTACTTTCGTGATCCTTGAACATCAAAGGAAGCACCTTTCTTTCTTTCTTTCTTTTTTTCTTTTTGGGTCGAAAAAAGGAAGCACCTTTCATTAATGTGTTTATGAACTTTTTTGATATTAAGAAAAGTAAGAAAATCGTTTGCAAGGAGGAGTCCCTGGGTGGGGAGGGAAGGAGAGGAGAGGAACCAAGTGTCACGTCGGGACAAGGCAAGGCATTGTCCGAAGGCGATCATGCGATGCACTTCTCGCTCGCATGTCGTCTCTCCCCTTAATAATGAATGAATGAATGAATAATACATTTTGCAATAGAAGAGAAGATGGGCCCCCAACCCAAGACAAGACTCGACGACGCTCCTTCTCTCTCTCTCTCTCTCTCTCTCTCTCTCTCTCTCTCGCACGTGATTTCACTTTTAGTCAAATGGAATACAGGCAGTCGGTCGACGATAGCAAAGCCACGTGGTAAAACCCTCCAACTTACTTGAGCGATTCCATGCCAATTACCAACATTTTGCAATTCTTGGCTTCTTCTCTTGCAGCTGCGAGCCATCAAAACTGCACCCATCCACCGCTGGGGACGACTCTTTGGCTCCCAATCCAATCACAGTGGGAAAAAAACTAAAGGATTCCCTCCCGTCATCATTTTGAGGTTGGTACATCGATTGAATAATATGGAATGATGGTTTTTTAAAAAAAGGATCGTGTTCTGGGCTTCGGTTGTTGTAGTTGTTGGTTTACAGCCTAGTTGGATTGATCTTTGTTTTAAAAATCATCATTTACCATAACCCTTTTCTTCGATTTCGAGACCTTTATCATGCATGATTTTAGGCTCTGAGATTTTATTTTATTTTATTTTATTTTATATTAGAAGGTTGGACCGACGTTTGATTGCCGTCGTTCGTGATGTGCAATTGATTTTTTTTCAAATTGCAAACTTCTCGCGCTCGTACTTGCGACTTAAATGGGAAAAGGCGGGAATGGCGATAATATTTCTATTGGGCCATCGGCGGCTAAGCAAAAGAGTGTTTTAAAAGCAAAGTAGTAAAACGTGTTGTGATGATCGATAGATGAATGGGAAGAAAGTTGGATTGGAGGCTGCTGCAGAAGAAGATAAAAGCGACATCGGGCAGGTGAAGCAGTTTGCATGCCCAGTTCATCGTCCACCGCCCACGACCGCAGCTGGGCCTGCTTCCTCCTCCTCATCCGATCCTCACCATCTCCGATCCCCGTCCACGCCCACCTCCTCAAGCTGGGCCTTCTCCCCCATCCCCACCTCCGCAATGCCCTCCTCCACTCTTACGCCCAGCTTGGCCTCCTCCGCCTGGCCCGCCGCCTGTTCGACGAATTGTCCCACTGGGCTCTCCCCGATTCCAACTCCCTCCTCTCCGCCTACTTCAAGTGGGGACACCTCCAGGAAGCTCGCGCTCTTTTCGATGCGATGCCCCGCCGCAATGTCGTCACCTGGACTGCCACGGTCACTGGTTATGCCCGGATTGGGGACTTGAAGAGTGCTAGGCGCTGCTTCGATGCGATGCCCGATCGGACTGTGGTCTCTTGGAACGCTATGCTCTCCGGCTACTCTCAGAATGGGTTCGAGGATGAGGCTCTCCGGTTGTTTCATGACATGGTTGGTGCCGGCTTCCAACCCAACGGGACGACTTGGGTCATTGTCATTTCATCCTGCGCTGCACGTGGCGATCCTTCCCTTGCCGATTCGCTTGCCAGGTTGCTTCATCAGGTAAGGGGAATTGATTTCAACTGCTTCCTCAAGACAGCGCTCCTCGACATGTACGCCAAATGTGGACGCTTGGCTGCTGCTAGACGCATTTTTGATGATCTGGGCCTCCACAAGAACACTGTCACATGCAATGCCATGATCTCGGCATATATGAGGTCCGGAGATTTAGCCTCGGCTAGGGAACTCTTTGATAGGATGCTGAATAAGGATGTGGTCTCCTGGAACTCCATGATTGCTGGATATGCTCAAAACGGCCAATCGGCTTTTGCAATCCGGCTCTTCAAAGACATGGTTACACTTACGAGTGAACATCCGAAGCCTGACGAATTCACCATGGCAAGCATTTTTTCAGCGTGTGGGCATCTTGGCACCCTGGAGATAGGCAACTGGGCCGTGGCTTTCCTCGAGAAAAATCAGATTAGGCTCAGCACTTCAGGGTACAATTCCTTGATTTTCATGTACTCTAAATGTGGGAGCATTAAAGATGCCCAGCGAATCTTCCAGGAAATGGAAAGGAAAGACGTGGTTTCCTATAACACCTTGATCTCGGGTTTGGCTGCCCATGGTCATGGAAGGGAAGCCTTGGGACTGATGTCAAAGATGAAAGAGGAAGGCATTGACCCAGACCCCGTAACTTACATAGGCATCCTGACGGCATGTAGCCACGGGGGGTTACTACAAGAAGGTCGTCGGTTATTTGAAACGATAAAAGCTCCATCAAACAATCACTACGCGTGCATGGTCGACTTGTTAGGTCGTGCGGGTGAGCTCGAGGAAGCAAAGAGATTGATTCAGATCATGCCGATGAAGCCACATGCAGGAGTGTATGGGTCACTCTTGAATGCTTGCCGCATTCACAGGAGGACCGATTTGGCAGAGATGGCTGCTTACGGGCTTTTCGAAATCGAGCCAAACAATTCAGGGAACTATGTTTTGTTGTCGAACATATACGCACAGGCAGGCAGGTGGGATGATGTTGATAGGGTCAGGCAGATGATGCGGAAGAGCGGGGTGATGAAGGCAACTGGATGGAGCTGGGTGGAGCATGAGGGCGAGGTGCATAAGTTCATTGCGGGGGACAGATCGCACGAAAGATGCAGTGAGATCTACCATCTGTTGGCCGACTTGAGGAGGAGGATGCAAAGGAGCGGATATGTGGCGGATGGAAGCTGTGTTTTAAGGGACGTGGTGGAAGAGGACAGAGAAGAGATGGTGGGGGTTCACAGCGAGAAGCTCGCCGTTTGCTTTGCTCTTATTGTTAGTGAAGCTGGGGAAGCGATCAGGGTGATGAAGAATATGAGAGTATGTTGGGACTGTCATACTGCGATCAAAACAATCTCTAAATTGGAGGGCAGGGAGATAATAGTACGGGACAACAGCAGATTCCACCATTTCGTGGAAGGCCAATGTTCTTGCAAGGATTATTGGTAGATTTCCATACAGTCACCTGCATTTCGTATGCAGATTGAAACCCCTACTTTTGAAGGCAGCAGGTCCAGTGGAACCCATCCATTGAAATGGAAGCTAAAATATCCACCATAAATTTCCCACTGTGCATCGGAAGTCTGACCATTTCAGCAGGAATAATTGGAATTCAGCATCTGAAAATTAAAGCGAGTTATGGAGCAGTCATCATCCTCATTTTACGACTGTTCCCAACTCGAAAGTCAGCATAGTGTTCCACTATAAGGGTAACTCTATTCAATCAACTGAACATTCTGTTACATCCCAACGAAGAACCTTCACTCAACTAAAGGTGCACATTGCCTTCAGGCACAGAATTTTTGCAACAAATGAGACTGCACAAATAGTAATATACATATAAGGCATTCTAATTGTGAGCAACGACTTCAAACATAATCCCTGAGAAAATTGGATAGAAGAAGAGTGTAGCTTAAGTCCCATTGTTGCGATACCAGTTCCCAACTACAGTGTCCAAATTAAACTGCAAAGAGAAATTTCTTGATCTTGTCTAGCCTTCTTGATTGATCTATGTCCAATTTCTGAACATGGTTCAGACCCTAGCCCTCTTACTACTGCAACTGGGGCATTTGTACTGCTTTATATGCTCCGCCTTTGCTGGAGTTATTTTTACACATTTTCCATGGAACCATCTCTCGCAGATGTCACAACAAATCCAGAATTCATCATTTGCATAACTATCCCCACATGCCCCACAGGTGGCACCCTGCTCATCATCCTCTTCTTCTTCCCCACTTTCCTCCTCTTGTTTAGGTGGTGGAGACATCTTCACTCCCTTGGATTGTGGCTCAGGCTGCAAGGAGAGGTTTGAAAGCAACATTCATGCATGATCAGCAAGGAATAACTATGCGCAAACTAAAGGGGGCAAAAGTACATCTGCAAATAATATCATGTCAAAACTGAAACTTCTTACCATCTTTGTACTAGATTTGCTTTTGCTGTTTGGATTAGCAGATTGTTCCTTTGATTGCTTAACATTTCCCGTCACAACTTCAAATATAGTTGGGAGATCATTTATCATCTGGAAAAGCCTCTTTCTGTAAAATCCGACCCTCCAAAATCAGAACAATCTATGTCGACTATAATGCAAGTTATCAACTATTTTCTGCGCTCTAAAATGCAGAACACAGCTAGTTGTTCCACCTTCGTTTGACTCGTTACAATGTTCTATGCAAATGCTTCCTATCCACATTCACCAATAAACGTGGGGAATTTATCCAAGTCGACCAATAAGGGATATTATGAAGGATCTAAGGTGGACAATGGTAGGATCTTGCCTGGAGAAGTACTGCTTTTTTTTAACTCAAACTGCCACTGATTACCTCAGCTAGTTCATTCTATACGTTTGCAAAACAGTAAAATAGGAAAGCGTCACTCAAAGAAATTATTGTATCAGCAGTAACTGCAACTTTAGATTTCTCATGAATTTAGAATAGGCGTGGCGGGATAACGATGGGTAACCCACCCTACCAAGAAACCAAGGGACCAAAATCTGCGTAGGAAAAATTGAGACTAGAGGACAGCCAAGACTGCCACAAGTAACCTCCCAGGTGACAGTCCCGAGTTTGATAAAAGCACACTTCTATCCCCACCTATTAGCATGAAATGCGTAACAAAGTTCTCAGAATCTGCTTCATCGGATGCTGCAATCCAAAAGAAGGGTCAACGCTACAGTTCTTTGCAATCAATAACTGATCTAGCAATTACCACCACCACGGAAAGTTTCCAACCTTCTAAATCTAGATCCATCTTCAAGCAATAGAGGAAAACAACAGTTTAAAAGAAAGCTATACAGCAAGGAAAAAAAAAAGAAATGGTAATAAGGAACTGCAATGTCAGCCTGCACTAAATATCCAAGATATACAGAGTGATTGTCTATTGAGTAACATTCTGATCACCACCAACAGGCACAACAGAAGAACTCAAAACAACATGAATAAAAGAAAAGTTGAAAATGACATGACTTGATATGTTTTAGCTAGTTCCTCAGAAAACCTAGATTATCATCACAATAGTCTTTATTTGAGCTATCTTAGCATTGAGGAGAAATGACAGACAATACCAACACAAACATAAAAAAGAGGACATGAAACAAAGTGCAATCTCCACTAAATTAAAAGAGTGCTATGTTCCATTGCATCAAGAAGCCTGGTAGGATCCTCACAGAGATACATTGCATCATCATTGCATATTCTACATAGCTAAACAAGGTCTTCTGTAATGTCCAACCCCATTAACATGACAGCAATGGCACAAAAAGATTAAAGCAGAACAAGGAAGAAGATTAAACACATGCCCCTCCCTAGCGTTATGAAGGTGTCGAGAAGATCCAGTAATATCAGAAGTTCAACTAAAGAAAAGAAACAGAGAAAAATCATATTATCCTTATCTACTCATTCTGTCGCTTGCAAAATGCAAAACGCAAACTAATCCTTGCAGACAGTTCTTATTGACATAAGCATGATTTTTATCAAGTTGCTTCTCAAGCTTTCATTCATACCATATACATACCTAAACACCATCAGCTCATAAATTGCAACAGGCCACAAAACGCACTACGCATCTAGACTAAAATAACTGACTGAGAGATATAGAAAGTGATACCTGAAAAATTGCATTTTTGCAAATCAGAAGAACTACCTCCACTAACACATAGCACACACTGTCTGATGTAATCCATTTTATTTTGGCTAAAAGATATCAAAGTTTTGATCTTTCCATCAATCTATCATGATGTCTATGGGCCTATCACATCCTAAAACATACTTTCAGTCCTTACATGGTACCATACAGTTGTTTTAATGTTAAGATCCACTCTCTTATCCAATTGAAAAGACAACCTGAACTGTTCTGAGATTTCTTAGAAAGCTTAAAGTCAACCAGTCTTTGACTCTCTTCAATCCCTTAGATTGTCCAAAAGGAGAAAAAGACTTTGCCAGGTTCCAATCCTTAGCTCTAACACCACAAGAAATAAGCCAGCCTAGGGAGGAGTCTAAAACTGATACAAGAATAAGGGGTAAGAGGAAAGTCAGACAGTAAACAAAACCTCTAAAATAATCGAATTATTCATGGTGAAATGCAACATATTGTGGATACTAGATGAACAATCGGTCAATGCCTTCATGACCTTGAGAAACTCTTAAACACTGATAGCCACAAAACAGAATAGAATGCTATACACAAACTGAAGAACTTCAAATAGATTATTCAAAAGGAAGAGCAGGAAAAAACAGGAAAACCACTATAAAAGTTTCAGAAGTGACTTTTTCACATTACAGATGAATGGGAATCTAATTTTGTGAATGACATAAAGTACAACTTGCTTCTATGTCGACAACTTTTATAAGATCCTAATCGCGAACTAAGACGGGGCAATGCTCCTTGTCTTTGACACTGCCTCAGCAAAATATGGACCTAACATCCTTTGACGTCCAAACATGTTTCGCCCATGTATATGCTCAAAACTACAAGTAGATTGGCGGGAGTCTATTTCACCCTCTTTTTACCATTATCTGTTCTTTGAAAAGTCCCATCTTCCCATCCCATACTTGTTCAGATATTTTGGCTCCAACTAATCTCTCCCTTCTGAAAAGCCTGTTAATATCAATCTTAGGGATGAAAATCCCTGTGGTTTTGAACGTGACTGCTCATGGTTCTGGTGATATTAGTAACAGCAGACTTAACTCACGGCAGCCATAAGACCCAAAAGGAGTAACTAACATTACCGAGCAAGATGGGACTTCACAAATACATCACAAAACAAGTTATTTCTCTATCCCCAAGAAACTAGGGTCAAAATAAGAGTCGGTTGAGTTATTGTCATTCAAAATAAGGATAAAAGAAAGAAAGTTCATTAATTTGAACAAAATATTTATGTCCGTACATTGCATCTTTGTAACTGGATCACATGATCCTACATGTTGCGGATAGTTATTTAGCTCTCAGCAGTTCTTTCACTTAAAATTTACACGATTCATTTCTTGGACTAAGATCTTGGAAAACCCTCGTAATGAAACTTAAGAAATTAATTTTAAGGACTAATGGCAATTATCTTTTATGAAAACTCTAACCTTAATGATTACAGATACCACTCAGGAGTACAGTCCACTACACAAAAAAAGCAATCTTGTCTGATTCTAGTCCTAATCTCTGATCAATTGTCAGGCCATGAAGCACGCGAAACCTCATAGGGAGACTCCGTCAACATCCAAAAGTCTTGAATATACTGTCGTGAGAGTTCATCTACTGGTATATATGTTTCTTTTTCACAACTACGCCATGCTGTGCGTAGGGGGAAAAACCAAGAATGAGCAATTCATTGGGCTCGACTAACGCAACAATATTCAGGCGGGCCTATGAGATTCTAAAACTATCATAATTTCAGAGGTTACAAAGAAAACAAAGTTATATGCGGAAAAGAACATGGAAGTTGATTCTATAAAAAAGAGAGGCTTTATAATAGTAAGCTTTGCTTGAAGAGAATAGCTCTTCGCACCTTTCGTTTTTACCAAAACCAAACCGTGCACCGAAATAGAAAGCCACGGCAAGTAACCACGAATCACCGTGCACGGCGACAAGTGACAACCAGTCCCTCTCTTGCATTCCATCCCTTGCAAAATTGATTCCCAAAGCAGGCTCAGGGAGCTCGGGGGGAACCTCCTCCACGGGCAAATTAACTTCCCAGGTCTCGTTTGGAAATCCATACAGGCAGAGATTCTCCTTCTCTGACAGTTGAAAAAAGGGGGAAAAAAAGGGAAAAAAACAAATGCAACTCTTCAAACCAGGAATCTCCCCCAAATCACCCGGGTGTCGTGTCAATACAAAGGGGGCATATTATTCGGGACGATAAAAAAAAAGAAGAAGGAAGAAGATTCGAGGGCTAACTAGTTGATGTGGGGGAGCGATGTGGTAGTAAAACAAAATCAGGTCGTCACAAGTAGCGGGTAAAAAGATGAGAATGACAACACAATTGACGAGCAGGGAGGGGTGGAAAAAGCTAGTCGGCTTCGGCTGGGAAGCGGAAGGAGGGAGAGGGAAACGAACGAGGTTGAACAATGCGGGAGGAGGACTTGGAAGGATGGAGACACTGAAATCAACTGATGCACACTAATAATATATCCAGACACACGCAGCAGCAGCAGCAGGCAGGCAGCAGGCAGCAGGCAGAGATAGAGGAAGGAACATTACCGGGGTCGCACTGCTGGTAGAACTTTTCGACGTCTGCAAAAGAGAAATAGACACGGGACGAATGCATCATCATCATCATCATCATCATCGTATGGAGGGGGGGGCAAAAGGGGCAGAATGGAAAACACGCGAAAAGGGGGGAAAACCGGAGAATTAGAAAAGATTGGGGGGAATGAGAAAACCAGTGGTGAGGGCCTTGATGAGGCCGGCGCGACGGCCCTTGAAATCGCTGAAGACCTCCTCAACCGTCCTTGGAATTGGGTGCTGCTGCTGCTGCTGCTGCTGCTGCTGCGGTATTCCCTCCATCAAATCCCCTCTCTCAACTCTCTCTCTCTCTCTCTCTCTCTCTCTCTCTCTCAATCTGGCAGAGAAATCTCGTTCGCTTCGCTTCGCTTCGTGCTCCCCCTTTCTTCCGGCTTCCTTAAACCAGGTAAATTGCTATTCCTGAGAGTTAGCCCCGCGAATTCATCATCAATCTCCCCCCGTTTTTTTTTTTTTTTTTTTTGTGAGGGCGGGGGGGTGTCTAGGGTTCGTTGCCTGTCAGAATTAATTTGTGTCTTTTTTTTCCTTTTTTTTTTTCTTTTGGCTAGTACAGACGCTGATCGAAAACAGGAAGCAGCTTCTTTGAAAAGGAAATTTCCATTTTAGTGTTTTAGGGTATATATATATATATCCTCCTTTGGTTGTGTTATTTCAATACAAATTCTCAAAATTTTGGCATCTCCTCGCTTTTATGAAAGAAATTGCAGCTTCATGTTCCTATTGTTCATATATTATGATATAACATTGGTCGGATAATTTCAAACAGATGATAAAGTAATTTCTTATGTTGACTTGGAGATGATAATTTGTAACTCCATTGCAGACCCACCTAAAAATCTTGGCAAGTAATATGAGTTGTTTGAAGAAACCAAGGGAAATTTTCTATATTATCCCATGAAATTTAAGATGATACACATTAAATCCGGACTACAAAATGTCACATTTTACTTTTGAAACTTTTATTCTGTTAAAGCCAACAATCACCATTAACTTTTTTTCCGTTATCCTCGTGTCTTGACTACAATCTATTTTTAAGATTTACATCGAAAGGACGAATCTATTTCCACAATCCATGTAACTTAATACACAACTTTTTAGGTGAAGGACTAAAATACACCTAATAACACATCTATGTTTGGAGTTTCTATCCTCTTTTTATTTCTCGTTGGGCAGACTTTTTCTCTTTTTTTCCTTTCATTTTCTTCTTTTTTTTTCCTATTGAGTTCGGCAAGGGTCGTCTGCCGACCCTCCCCAGCCACTGGCGAGGGCCACAAACCCTTGCACGCGGTCTGCTAGCGAGACCTTAGGGTTTTGATTATGTGCCAACGAAACCTGTCAAAAGGATAGTAAATAAGACGAAGCGTATCATATGGAAGCCAAGGGAAAAGAACAAAAGAAGAATAAAATGAGAGAAAAGAATAATGGGAATACTATAACTTTCGTACAGTATTCACTTTAGTATCAAAATTTTTCAAGCGATCACTTAAGTGTCGTATTAGTGGGAAAATGTTCACGTAAGTGTCTCTAACGATAACTTTTGGGTCTTACGTGACTTTTTAAATTATTTTTTGGTTCAAAGGTTATTTTTTTAAAAGAAATTGAAGACCGACGTGGAAAATCTTTCGTCCAACCTAGTAAAAGTGAACAAAATGACTCTCTCTCTCTCTCTCTCTCTCTCTCTCTCTCTGGAGTTGAAAGAGCAAAGCCGTGCTTTCGCGAGGGAGAAACAGAGTTCTGTCTCAACCTGTGATTCGCCTTCATGATGCTCCAAATCTTGATCGCCACAGCTCGAGAGACAAAATCCGGAGCATGGGCGAAGAAGCGACCCATTCTTCGAGTATGAAGGAGGAAGAGGAGGCGTTGCAGTGAAGATGAGACCATGAGTGGAGGATTGAAAACAAGGCCAGTAAGCCACATCGGTTAAATCCACATCCTTGCGGGACCTCAAGGAGATCTTGAAGATCGTGACCCAGCCGATGGACAATATACGCGCCCCATGACCTCATCTTCAACAACCATGGGAAGCTTTACACAATGTCTCTCCGCTTGCCTTGTTTCAAGAATCACCTTGGACTATATAACACCAATCACTCAATTCTTGATTTTTATGTGCAAAAAGACAAAGGACAGAAACTAGCATCAATTGCAATTTCTTGCAAGATCATCCTCACTCGGAGGAAGGTTTTTCACCCAAATCACAATTGCCCTCATCTTCCCTCTCTACGTCATTTTCCTCGCCCACTCACATCTCGCAACTCCTCTTCTTCGCCGACCTTGATATGCTCACTCTCTTGCAGATAATTATCCGCAATTTTATTAGTAATTTCAATAATAAGGTTGGGGTTTACCTCTATCTATGCCCTAATTTAGCCCCAATTTGTCAATTTGGGAAAAAAACAAGGGCCAATGACGTCGTTTTTTGCTGATTGAAATTCTCCAAGGGGCCACATTAGCCAATTTTTAATAAACTAATGCCACGCCGGATTTCCGTCCTTCCAAATCGGAGTTGACATTTAAATGAACTTTTTTTTTTTTTACCAAAGTCGCACTCAAGTGATCCATTAAAAAATTTTGACACTAAAGTAAGTATTTTACAAAAATTATTGTACTTATAGTGTTCTTTTTTAATCCGACAGTGAACAAATGTTTCATGAAAATACCACCCGCCTGGGTGGCGCTGCTGGAAAGGGCACTCTTCCTCTCGCAAAAGGTTGGGTGTTCGAATCCCGGGCGCCGCAGGGTGACTTAACCGGTGCACGTGTGTGGTGGCTAGCACGTGTCGCCCCCAGGGTTTACCTCCCGGCTGTCGACCGTGCGGGGGTTCCCTGGGTTACCAAAAAAAAAAATTGTTTCATGAAAATGACGCGAGTCGTGAATCCATAAATCTTTTAAGACATAAATAATATTGTAACAAAAAAACTCTAAAAAATCGATGATGCAATTCACAATGAGTAAATATAAAGCCTCGTGCCGAAACATCATATTCCTTGAATTGAGTACGATAGAAGATCGAATTTGTTTGTCTGATAGTTTTTACTTTGATTAGACTTCACAAGACTTTTGTTTTACTAGACAAAAGGTCCAAAAGTCTCTTTGAAGAATTTTTAAAACGACTTCTTCCATTTTAAATGAAGTTGAGCTTCCACCATGAAAGCTCAAAAGCTCGAGCCAATGGGTGGGGAGCCCACTACCATCGCAGAAGCTTGACACTTAAAGCTCTATATAGCTCGAGATGCCTTCCCCTTATTGAAAGGATTGTTTTTGCTGCATTCCTTATAAAGTGGGTTGCCATCTAGACGCCATCATTTAAATCAATTGGAGAAGTTTCCTATCAAGTATTTTCAACCAAAGGAGGATCAATTACGTAACTCCTACTGTCTTTTCAATTATTTCTCTCCATAAAGAGTTATCATATTTGTGGATTTTCTAGATGCCATCCAGCGTGTGGTTTAGAAAAGTAAACTAGTGAACCTGCCTTTGCTACGCATGGGCTTTGTATTTCAAAGTTTATTGCAAATTCGTGTTTACTAAAAATCTTTCTATTCTCTAGCAAAATATAGTATCTTTAGAACTAACTTTGGCAATAACCATGAAATTTAATAAATAGAAGCATATATTGTGCTAAAACCATATAAATTAATTTGACAGATTATTAAAGATTTGTGGGTTTATTTTTCTTATATATAAATTTACTATATCCCGTTATGAACCATCCTATATATCATGTTCCACTAAAATTGAATTGACCGTGGACCCTTTTTTCTTATTAAATTGACATATTGGTTGGTCATTTTCTTTAAAGAACTCGTCATTTTTAAGTAGCATTTATACCAATCTTGAATTTTGCTCCATCTTATCTTATATGGAATCAAAGTAACCTAATTCATAATGCTATAGTATTGATTCAAGTTCACAATTATAGTTATTTTCTTGATCACGTGCAAAATATGCATAGTATCGTTGATTTTATAGTTATAGATATTCTTCTATTTTGATATATTGTTTTGGATAGTGTCAGCGTATTCTTTTGTATGTTATCGCAATGGACAAAGTCGATTTTTTTTTCTCTATAGTATAATATAGAAATGTTGATAGATTTTTTTTGTCTTTCTTGTATAAGATAACATATTGTCATAATAGAGCTATTATTACTTTAAATTTGTAGTATGAATATTTTCTCATTCTAATAAAGTTGATCACTCCATATATTATTAGATAAATGCAATATTGATAACTATGACGGTATTTTAAAATATTGTCCTATTAAAGTTTTAGTGGAGAAAACGAAATTAATTCACTCTTAATCCCATTCACATTGGATACACTTATTCTGCAAAAGCGAATTTTACTAATAGAGACATACAGATAGATATATGGATATGTTGAATTTTACTTAGATATTTCAAAATCCACTTTGTATGAGTAAATTCTATAGATTGTCTGAGTAAACAGTGAACCTTTGAGAAGATTGTCGAAAGGAGAAAATAGAAGAATCTGACATGGATGTATTAGATAGGTTATGGGGTCATTGCACTTGGTTTGTGCTTTTCTTGGCTTGTTGAACTTTATATTCTCGTGGGCGGCTTTTGTGCGTTGCTTTGCCTCCGACATATATTTCAGCTTAGAGCTTACAAGGTCTGCAAAGACTCCGGGCTTACTTCAGAACCAACTTAGCCGTGGTGGCGGTGTTGGTGGTGGCGATGGCGATGGAGAATGGGTCGGGATCTTTGGAATACACGCCTACGTGGATAGTTGCGGGTGTATGCTTCATCATTGTTTTCCTCTCTCTTTGCGCTGAACGAGCCCTTCACCGGCTTGGCAAGGTCAGTTATACACAGTCCGTGTTCCTGATAATTTGGTGATTCTAGTGCAATTGCATTTGATCTACTAATATCGAACTCGATGATGCTGCAGTTCTTAAAGCGCAAGAAGCAAGACGCCTTGTTTGAGGCCCTACAGAAATTAAAAGAAGGTCCATTCATTTTGAACCATTGATTCACATTGCCTACCGTGCTCTGCATCCCTACCACATTCTTCCTGGTCATCAAGGAAAAAACCATACAAGATTTGACATCATTGTGAATATGAAAATGTCATATAGATAGTAAATCATCCAACATATACGTTAGATCTGACGTGCACTACTTTTCACTTTCTGTCCAGAATTGATGCTCTTAGGGTTCATTTCGTTTCTGTTGACTGTTTTTCAAAGCATACTAAGTCACATATGCATCCCTACACATCTGGCCTCGTACATGCACCCATGCAAGAAGCAAGCTTCAGAGATCGCCACTCATGGAGAACTTCTTCTACAATCAAGAAACAACAGGAGAAGACTTTTATCAACGGATGTTAGTGTGGAGAACTGTGCACATAAGGTATGCTGTCACTGAAAAGGGATGGCTTCCCTTAAATATGTAAAACATCTCCAATGATATTTCAAGTGAGCACCTCAGTCGGAAAATCTTTAATTGCTGTGCGGCAAATAACGATATGGACTATGCCTCACGATGTGCACAGGGACAGGTTCCACTGTTGTCGATAGAGGCGTTACATCAACTCCACATGTTCGTCTTTGTATTGGCAGTTGTTCATGTCATCTTTTGTGTGAGTACTATGGTTCTTGGCGGAGCAAAGGTAAGTCTCATTTCCACAACATGTATAATGTCAGCTCTCCGATGCTTTCGCAACAGTTTCCTTACATCACAGCCATCCCTTCTTGCGTTATGCAGATACGTCGGTGGAAAAATTGGGAGAAGCCACTTTGGAGAGAACCTCCCAAGGAAGGAAAAAGTATTATATAGTAGAATTTGCAATTACATCCCATATGAATGTCTCTGTGATCACGGGCCCACGGCGAGTCAACCTGGCATGCACGGATAGTTGAAGTGACACGTTTTCATTCATTTTCGATGAATAATGTTACATAATTACATTGAACTTTTTTATAAATGGCACAAATAGTTGACATGAACACGATAGCAAACACGAATTGCCAGCTCATTGGGCATGCAAGCAATTCATTTTTTCCTGGGTCTGGCATAACCACTTATATATGTTGATGAGTTCTTTACAATAAGCTACAAACCAGATGCTGCTCACTCTTTCGCTAACTTTGAGTAATTTATGAGAGTGACGATAGAATCTGAATGCACTTGCTCCTACTAGAGGAGACAGTCAGTTAATGGTTTCTTAGCATGCATATACATGATGTATATCAGCAAGAATGCACACTAAACACGATGAAGCTAATTCTCTCAGCAAATGCGTGCAGGACCCGCATCATATATTCATGGTGACGATACTCCTCTCCATCATGAGATCTTTTCACAACGTGCGAGTGGATATTGGAGGAAAGCAGCTATTGTGAGCTGGATGGTAAGTCTTGCTGTACTCATATGCTGATACACATTATGTTTATGGCATATGGCATAATTTACAAACGGAAAGAGGTGATTGTAGGATCTAACATGGCGTACAATTCATATTTCACTACTTGATTACCTCATTGTTGTTGCCGTGATGACATTTTCGCATTGCAGATTTCATTTATGAAGCAATTCTATGGCTCTGTCACCAAGTCAGACTATATCGCTCTGCGACACGGATTTATCATGGTGAGAATGCATAGTGGTTGATATCTATTTATATCTGGATATTGAGTCGGTACGGTCGATGATCATGCTTAATTATTTTGGATGCACATTTGTATGTATACAGACCCATTGCCCTCGGGTTCATGATTTTGATTTTCACAAGTACATGATGCGATCCCTCGAAGGTGATTTTAGAAAGATAGTCAGCATAAGGTAAACCCTCTGACATTGTTTCACTCTGGCTCCAATTTAACTTTGAAATTTTAATATCGCCGGGCAACTCACAGTTTACCTAGTGCAGCTGGTTCTTTTGGCTATTCGTCGTCCTCTTTTTGCTACTAAATGTGGAAGGTAATCTCCCAGCAACCCACCGCACTGTCTCACATATATACTTTTATTTCAATTGCCCAAGGCTCTTGTTTTCCCAAATTCGTGCAGGATGGAACTCATACTTTTGGTTGTCGTTTCTACCATTGGTCGTAAGTGAATTGGCAATCTTTCCTAATCCCAGAGCTTTCAGTTTGAGGTTCGAAGTTGATGGCAATGATTATGCAAATATGAATGCTTGAATTGAACTGCAGCTTTTGCTCCTTGTTGGAGCTAAACTGGAGCATATAATAACTCGCTTAGCTCAGGAGGTGGATCGTGAAGCCGCTCAAGTGAAGCCGTCTGATGAACACTTCTGGTTTCATAGCCCCAGCATTGTTCTTTGGCTGATTCACTTCATTTTGTTTCAAAATTCTTTTGAGATTGCCTTTTTCTTCTGGATATGGGTAAATAAACAAATCCTACTTACGTAAAAGTTGTTGATGATCATGAACAGTCTACTAAAAACAAACCTATGCTTTCTTACTAGAGCACTTACGGACTCCACTCATGCATTATGGAAAAGATTGGTTTCATCATCCCAAGACTCATAATGGGGTAAAATGCAGAAATTAATAGCTCCCCCTCCTTTCCCTCGGATAAATTCTTTTCCTAACTCCGAACATCGTAATTTACTGGCATTCTAATTGGGATTAGACTGCTTGCTTTTTCAGAGTTGTTGTTCAAGTCCTCTGCAGCTACAGTACCCTACCTCTGTACGCTCTAGTCACTCAGGTCAGCAATTTGTAGTCATTATCGCAGCATGTTGTTGGGTTACTAGAAATGCATTAGCTAGGTATCTCCAACATCTAAAGCCATCTGCGGCTATGTGGAAAGCTGACAAAGCTACTTCCCTGCCTGTATGAATTAGATGGGAAGCACGTTCAAGATTGGTGAGGACGTCCATAAACAGATAATGGTTTGGGCTGGTCATATAGGGAACAGAGGCCAACCTGACACAAACAACGACTCATCTGGAGGAGCAACTGCTTCACATTCGCACAGGATGGCCGCGCAATCATTGGAAAGCTTTCACGTGGCCAAGCAAGCACGGGACACTGTTGATGAAGCTACTCCAACAATTTAAGTCAAGAAGGGTCTCTGATGTCTCTCGAGTACCAGACTCGAAACTAAATTTATTACTCTTGAAATCATGGACATGATGGCTTCGGGTACAAATTTTGGGGTAATTGTACGCCTGTATCACATATATATTAATGTGAACTACAATGTTCTAAGGCTCCCCCCCCCCCCCCAAAAGGAAAAAAGAAGAAGAAAAAGAAGAAAGGTTCAGCAATAGCTCCCAATCAAGAACTCTGCAATAGGAATGGCTATTTGGTGGGAGTGCTAATTTGGGATTTATTTGCTCTAGCAGTATATTGGAGGGAGCAAAGCGATTCAAGAATAAAATGAGTGAACATCAATGGTGCTTCCATAGGGACAATGGTGCTTTATAAGTTTCGTCACATCATGCGTGATGCCAAATCCCGACGGTTACTACTTCCCCATTTCTCCGACTTGGCAGTAACATCGAAAGCCTAAAATGCTTAAACGCAGTCTTATTACATCTCTAAGGAAAAATAGGGGAAGGAGCTTCCTCGGTCGAGTAAAGACTAATCTCGCTTCAGTTGACAGGCAACGGTTGGGCTATTGTTAGCTTGAGCTCCGTTAAATTTATTCGTATAAACACGCCCATAGTCCCTGAACTTCTGCAATTTTTTTCAATCTGATCTTTCGATGATTTTTGTTCAATTGAGTTTCTGAAATATACATTTTCTCGAGTTGATCCTTCAGTTCTGTTATGCATGTGGACATAAATGCCGACGTGGCAGACTATGTCAGAGCCACGTCTCCATGCTCTCCACAGAATTATCGACTGAAAAAACAATAAGAGAAAAAGTTAGGATAGAGCTGCGCGTGGGGAGGAATGACGACGATGGCAGATGCCGCGATGGAAGTTTGGCGATCCTCGTCGATGCGTGTGCCAATCGCAAAGGGCCTCCCTCCCAGTGGCATATCTTTGTATTTGAGTGGCTTAACCGAAATTGGCTGGACTATATTAGCGACCCATCAAAAAAATTTATAATTAAATTGATCAAAATTTTATTTGTTTGATTTATTATTTCGCTATAATTTCTTAGATGGTAAACACGCCCTTTTTAACTTATATTTTTTTTTGTCAAACTTTTCAACTTGCTTTCGTTATTTGCTTTTTTATAAAAGATCACTCGAGAGTAATGCATACTTAATCATCTTTTTTCTCGATTACATAATCCATTAATAAGATACTGGAGGGGCAAAACACCTCGGGCAGATCTTGACTGATCCCAAAGTGCATGATTTTGGTCGATTTGCCACTTTCACGTCACTAACATTTCCCTCTCACCTCGTTGCAAAAAAGAAGTCATTACATGTAGCGGAAGACTTCCTATTAGATATTTCTCGGTAGTTAAGGGGAGAAAATCTGCAAATATTGCATATCGATATAGTCATATATGTTGTTTAATCTGAAATGCATTTATTAAAATTAAGAATAAAATGGACATAAAAATATAATTTAGATTCCTTGTCAACCTTTTCTCTTACGCCAAATTTCATGTCATTTCTTTTTTTTTTTCTCTCTCTCAAGCCAATATCCAAATCACTTCCATCTCTCTTAATCACTCTACTCAAATTGTGTGATTGTGAAAATTAAAACGGGATAATGACACAATCAGTCCCTAAACTTTAGTTCAATGTGCAATTTGGTTCATATAGTCTATGGACTAAATTAAATATGTGCCAAAAGTCTAGGGTCCACATTGAACAAATTAAAAGTTGATGAACCACATTGGACATTTTCATATAGTTCATGGACTAAATTGAACATGTACCAAAAGTCTAGGGACCACATTGAACAAATTAAGAGTTCAGGGATCACATTGAATATTAGGCTAAATTTTAGAGACTATATTGAATAAATTAAAAGTTCATGGATTAAATTACATATTAAGCTAAAATTCAAAGACTATCTGTGTCATTTTTTCTAATTAAGATGTATGTTTCGATAAAATTACACCTGGCCCCTGAAAAACATAAGAATAAACAAAATAAACAAATAAACAAGGGGTTTGCTCTGCTCATACAGACATACATATCATCGGAGAGCGAGAGGGAGAGAGGTACGCATTGGGGCTTTTGGCAGAGGAGGAGGAGGAGCAGCAGCAGAAGCAGAGAGAGAGAGAGAGAGAGAGGGGAGCAGTAGTGATGGCGAAACCGCTGGGACCGACGGGAGAGTTCTTCAGGAGGAGGGACGAGTGGCGGAAGCACCCGATGCTCTCCAACCAGCTCCGCCACGCCACTCCTGGCCTCGGCATCGCCCTCGTCGCTTTCGGCATCTACCTCGTCGGCGAGCAAGTCTACGACAAGCTCTACAAGCCCCATCCTCCCTCCTCCTCCTCCTCCTCCTCCTCTCACTGACCAAAGCAATTACCCCCGCCCCCCCACCGATCAGGTTCGCCTCCCTTTCCCCCCCTCTGCAGATCCCCTCTCTTTCTCCGCCTTCTAGGGTTTTCTTGATTTTGAGGAACATCTAATTCAACCTAATCGCCCGTCTCTAGTCCCCCGCGATGCCGGTAATTGAGATTACGGCCTGCCCTCAGATCAATTCCGATGCCGTTAATTTGGGGTTTGTTCGCCGATGCTAAAGGATTTCCCTTTATACGTACGCTTCTCCTTTACAAGAGAACAAAATTACCCCGTTCGATATCTTTGAAAAAGATCGAACTAGAAGACATTTGTATTAACCTTTCAGTAGTTCGGATATCGATGTCATTGTTATCGAATGAAGCATTCTTTGTCCACGCCCCCTCCGGTCCTCTTGTAGTCCTTGTGCTGGCTTTTTTAGGTGCGGAGCATGATGTTTATATTGGGTAGTGAAGGTAGACAGGTTGGGCAAACCTGCTTTTATGGCATTCTTGATGAACTAACTCACTGGTTCAGCATTTGTCTTCCCTCCTCTTTTTCTACTGAATTTTTGTCACTCGGGCCGCAAAAGAAGTCCCTTTCTTGTGGCAATGGTTTTCGCTTCTGTAATAGTCCCGGGCTAGGATTCCAAGTAATGAACGTGCCTTTAGTTGTCGAATCTTAGTGATTGTGTGCCTGTGTTGTTGGATGTTTTTCATCACTAGTGGAGTCAAATATTGAGCCCAATTTATCCAGACATCCTCTAGTCCACCAGCTAATTAACCTGGAACCCTTGCTTGAGTTATATTGGCTTTATATTTTACATTCTATTTCTTTCTTTAACAAACATCCTAATTAGGTTCCTGGTTTATTTGATCATCTTTTGGGATGGCTGCCAAGTGAGTCGGCTCGCATTCAATGACATCGGCTGCCGCGGCCATCTAACGGACATGTCTGCTGCCCTTCCCACTTCCTGCTTGTGTTCCCATCTGCCACCACCCCTATCAACCACCCTATTGCCATCAACATGGCAGTTGTGATCACCCCCTTAAGCAAAGGGCTGACATTACTCTGAATTCAACGATATTTCTGTGGTGCCGCCACCTGTGTCTACCAGCCACTTTATATCACAATTGTTTGATTACTACTTTTAAAATTTTAAAGAGTTGTAAATTTCTCAAATGATATTTATTTTTTTCATCGTACATATAATACGTCAGTTAAACCTTTTTTGGAATGACATTTTTTTTCTTCATAATGTGGAAAGTGGTTTACTTGGAAAGGGACATTAGTTAATGGTGAGACCAGTCTTTTTAGTGGCCACTGTTTGTTAGTTTTATTATTATGTCACCATAGGGATCGTGAAGGAGCAGAACATGGTGCACTGTCCATGTGTAGTGTATCCCTTTCATCCTATTTGATATTCGACATCAGACCCTCTTTATTTGCTGTCTTGATTTTTGAGTCATGTATCGGAAGCTCACGAAGTAGTTTTCTGGAAATCCATGGGCACATAAGATTTTGAGATCTATCTGGCCGAATTGTTGTTTACCATGCTGTTTGTTATTCCGAACAAAATTTAAAGCTCTAAGTAATTGGAGCCTAGGGACTTTTCTGACATTTCAGGATATTTCTTGGTTTGACTCTGCGGAAACCCAGTTAGCTTTGTCATTAGTTTTTGCGTGTGATTCATCCGTGGTTGTAGGATTTTTGATAATTTCGCTTTCCATTCAACCAGGTTGATTTCACATTTTTAGGGGGGTGTTATGTGAGTAATGACACAAGACTTATAACAAGAGTAGAACTTATTGCCTATATCTTGTCAAGGCTTGTGTATGCGGGCTGAATCAATGTAGAGTTAAATTTGTTCCTATTAAGTTTAGGAACCTGCATTAAAATGTTAAGGTGCCCCTGCTTCTTTGGGGTAAGAAAGGGGAAGAGAAAACCCCCTGAGCCAACTTCTAGTGAACAGGAGCAACTGTGTAATTATCCTTTTTATATTATCAGATGTCATCTTGTTATTAGTTTATCTTTCAATGAACACAGCAGAATTTTAATCTGATGAACAATTGATCTTATGCAGTTGAGGGTTCATTTGGAGGATGAGAAGCTTGGTTTTCAGAATTTGTGGTATCTGCTTCCTGGTGTTCTGTCAAATAAAAGCTCGGGTAAACGAGAAACTCAAGGACCTTTCTTTTTTCTCTGTGACGTGTCGGTAGAATCGCTGATGATGAAGTTATTTTGTAGCTGTTGCCTATTTGTAAACTTTTCAAAGTTCTCGATCAATTACCATCTGAATGTTGCATCTGATGACACAATTGTCAAGTTCATTTCTCTATGACAGTACTGCGTGGCAACTTTTGAGGGGTGGGTGTATCAGGATGCGCATATAAATAGGCAGTACTTATTTCACTGAACTCTCTATATCTGTTATATTCCATTAGAACTTGACAGTTCTTACTGGACTGACGCATGCGGTGTATAGGTATAATATGCCAGTCTGAGTATGACTCTGAAAGTGAAATCAGTATAATTTTTGTTGCACTGCTCTTCTAGAAATGGTGTGGCATATTTAGGTAATCCGCCAAAGTGGAATTTCCGCTATGAATGACTTTTAATTTACAATTCATTTTCTTGTTTGGCTGAAACATACTTAAAACTTTTTGCTTCGACTATATGAAACTCCTACCTAATTACATCGTTATTACTTTGTAATCAGATTTTTACACCGATGATTGACTTGGTTATATTTCCTCCATGATGTTTATGTTAGTACCTCTTCTTCTTTTTTTATAATATTAGTATCTCTTGGTTGAGTTACCATCGGGATCATCATTCACTGGTAGTGTATCTTCGAAATATTATCGGGACTCCCGTTCATTGTCTGAGTTGATATATATCGGCGCATAATTCCGACTATGGATCTATAAGTGCATGAAGTATTGGGAGAGGGGACCAGCGCGAGGTCCCTGCCTCCAGATTACCGTGATATGGTCGTGGGGGATGATCACTGGAGGCGGCAGCCAGGCAGGGAGGCGGCAGTGCTCTTAGCTGAACTCTCCGATCCCCTTTTCTTGTCTTGGGTTGCTGTTTTTTTCCCCCTCTTTTATCAAAAATGGGTTGAGAATCGGTCTGAACTCTGAATCAATAACAGTTAAGATCCATAATCTAGTTAAAATTTGTTTTTGTCAATTCAATTTTAGACTTGTTTTATAGAACTTTACGTTTGTTGTCTTCCACAATACAGACAATTCTGGTAGTCCTCGAGTAAGAAGCCTATGTTTGGGTTGAGGGGGTCAAGTGATGTAGTAGCCAACTCTGGAAAATCTGCCGCCGGTCCTCTTCTTTGGAAATAATAAAGGATGGAAAGGGCCGACTCCCTGCCCGACTCCTCTAGGCATTACGGTAGTAGTTTCATACCCACAATCAATCCTGACTATTGAACAGCCGAAAGCGAGTTGAAGCGAAGTCAAATAGATCCCTACGCCTGACACTTAAGTCCAACGAAGCATTTTATTACACTTTTTTTCAAGAAGCTTTTCATTAGATTGAAACAGCTAACTAAAGGACAGTTGGAAAAAAAAGGAAAAAAAAAAAGAAGAAAAGAAAAAATAATTTTAAAAAATACAAAAAAAATAGTCGGCGCCGGTAGTACTATATAGGATGGACGGCATTGACTAGATTGACATGTCATCATTTTTCAGCCAAAATTGATCGGAAAATTACATTGAAAGGTTTAAGATTAAATTGGCACGATTGAAAAGTTTAAGACTCGATTGGTAGATCGCCAAAAGGTTTAGGACTAAATTAACACAACTTAAAGATTTGAGATCCAGTTGACACAAATGCAATAGATTTAGAGCTTTGTTGATAATTTCCCCCGAAATGTTTCTAAATTCAATGAAGGATAATGGTGCCATTCACAATGACTTTCCATCTTCCCATGTAATTTACTTCTATTCATATGCCATTTAAATGTTAGTAAATGTCTATTCAAATTGTTAACTACTCGAAAACTCAAATTCATACTACTAAGAAAATGTTTGGCATTTTGCAAATCCGCGTTGAATTCAACCTAAGGTGAATAATGACTTACTTCTTACCTAATGATAATTTCTTTCATAGATTGTAAAAGGATTACGCTTTTTCCACTCCCACCGTGGCTAAAACACTTTTTATTACAATGTTTTAACCATATTAACCCTTGTGGATCCAATCTTTTTTAATGATCATTTTTTGTTTGGTTGTGGTGTCTCATTTGTTTTCTTCTTTATTTTTTCTCGTGGGTCCCATTTTCCTCTTTCATTACTTCTCTCCGTAAGTTCTTAAATTTGGTCATGGTTCAAGCATTGGTGGTATACGTAAAAAAAAAAAAAAACTCTCTTTTGTGGTCTGTCTCTATCACTTATTGTCTAGACCACGTTGCACTTATCAGTTTTTCAACCGTTAACCGGATTTTGATACCTTGGCTCCCGCATTGAACTTTACGCCTATCAGAACATGGGGATTCGAACAATTGATGGGCAATAGGGCCACCTCATTGCATAAGGGCTCGAACTTAAGAGTTGAGTTCATAATCACCTCTTCGGTCCTCTCAATCATCGGTGGCGGTAGCTTGGTAATTAAGATCGGCGTAGAAGTAGGGGAAACCACAAGGGCGAGAAGGGGTAAATCCTCGCTGATTGCATTTTTGGTTCGCGTAAACAACTTAGTGAGAAGGGGGGGAAGATTCGAGCCATGAATTTGGAGGCTAGTAGGGGATGGCGAATCGGCGATAACGGTGACAATTAGGACCAAGCAGAGATTACTTTTGAGCTTGGTGAGTTTTTGGGCGAGGGTTTCAGCTCTTGGATTTGAATCTTTAATGGGTTTTTTTCTTGTTTTCGTGATTGATCAATCGAAAAGTTTGATGCGAAATGAGATAATTCAAATTTGACATGAGATGGAAAATGACTAGTTGGGTGAAGAGGAGGTTTATGCAAATCTAGGCTTCAACAGAGATTATTAACTTGAGATGGATGTTTTAGAAAGAGAGCACAAAGAGAACAAATGAGAAGAAGGAAAGTGGCCTTACCAGAAAAGAGAAAGAAGAGAAGCAGTTGAAGAATGCTAAGAAAAAAGCGAGACCCACAAATATTAATATTGTCAAAACGTTATAAGATGGAGTGTTTTAACCATAGTAGGAGTTAAAAAAGTGTAACTCGTTGTAAATTATGCCTTTAAAACATTGGGTCATTGAGTTTTCACTCTCCGTCGAATTGCCTTCAATTGTTTCCATTGTCGTCGCAATAGATTCATAACGTTTTGCCTGTTTCAAATATTTATCTCATTTACTCATTCTTACTAATTTTTTTTGAAAATATTTTTTTTAATAAACCGAAGTTAAGAATCGTGGTTCGTAACATTTTGATGAAAAATGTCTGTCTTTATCTTTGTTTATGTTGTAATTTTGAAATTTACTATTCAAATGATCGATATTCACTTATTCTCAATATAGAAAGACAAAGAGAAAATTAGATATTATTAATGAAAATTTGATATTATCAAGTAAATATTTAACAAACTCTCCTACTTTCATTCGGCATATATCCCTATCTTAGAAATTCATATACTTATTTTCCCAATAAAGTTATCCACGTCACGGTTGAAGGAATAGTCACGAGGGAAAATTTTCTCCATCCACCCTTGCATTTCTTATTCGCGGTTTTAGAGAATGGAAAAATGACACAAAATAATAAGGTGGATAGGATGGTTTTGCATAGAAATAATTATTTAAATTCTAAATTCAAATTTATGTTAAAAATGGAATATTCGAATCTTAAAAAGATAAGCAAGCTTATATATCTCATGTTTCAATAAATAAATTAAATCTGTAATTAATGTTGAACCATGCAAAATGTGAGTGAATGGTCGTAAATTGATTATATACGAAGAGAAAAGAAACTTTTGAAAGATATTAGATTTATATTTTAACTAAGTAAATATAATCTTAAACATGCGTGAATGGGTTATTATTTGATAAAGAAAAAAAATGGCTAATTTTAACTTATTTTTTTTGGTCGAACCTAATTTTAACTTTTATTAATATATATTTAAACAACAGAATAATAGCGAAATATCAAAAACTGAGATAAACAAAACAGTAAATTTTACTTCGATTATATAGATTCCGATGCACCGTTTCTCAGTTGGTCGCCAGCAGTAGCGAGGAGGTGGTGTTCTCTGATTCAAAAGCGAAGAAGAAGAAGAAGAAGAAGAAGAAGATGATGGTCGGAGAAGTAGAGGAGACAGAAATAGCCGACGAAGCCCAAGATTCAGCCACCATCATGCCTTCACCACCCAACGAACCCATGGATGTCCCCGCCGATTCTCCTCCTTCTGACTCCGATTCCGATTCCGATTCCGACTCCGACTCCGACTCCGAGGCTCAGGACAAGCTCCAGATTGAAGCCCTAGAGTCGGAGCTCTACAACAATCCTTCCAACTACGACGCACACCTTCAAGTAACCCTCCTCTTCTCCCACACACGTACCTACATCTACACTAGTGTGGCTCACTGTGTGTTTTGACTGTTTGACGATCGCTCCGGTCATTCGCTTCTGATTTTGTCGACGCTGAAGCAATCGGTTTTGGCCTTTCTTTTCCTTCTCTTTTCAGTACATAAGGCTCGTGAGGAAGATGGGCGATCTTAACAAGCTGAGACAGGCTAGGGATTCTATGAGTGCTCTTTTTCCTCTGACCCCTGCCATGTGGCAGGAATGGGCTCGAGATGAAGCTTCTCTTATGGTCGGGTACGTCCATCTTCCCCTCTCTTTTTTGAATGTCAGCTTCTCTCATGGTCGTGTACCTGTATTCTCTTGTCTCAACGGTTTTTTCATTGCCATGTTTAACTTGAATATTAACTTGCTTCGGTCTGCCTGTTCGTATGTCAGTAGCCGAGCCTTTGCTTATGTGTGGTTCCTTGTCCCAAATGACATCCTGCCTTAATTATGGTTCCCAATGGTCATCACTCCTCAGTTTGGGCTTTTCACTCTCCCTTACTTCCCTTTTATTTTGCAGGGTTGATGGCTATGCTGTGATTGAGAAGCTTTATGATCGCGGGGTGTCTGACTATCTGGTGGGCTCTAATTCTTGCTACTGTTCTTGTTATCCTTTCCCTCCCGTTTCACAAAATCGTGGATGAGAAATTAATAGCTGGTTGAACCTAGGGTTACCTTCATTCTTATTGTATGCACTATTTATATCTATTGCATGCGAGATACTGCACTTTTTCTTTATTAGGTGAAGCAGCAGGAAAAGTTCCTTAATGGAGTAATGAGAGATTCATTGAATTTTTCAATGCACTGTAGTTTTCTATGCAATATAGGAATTACTCGAATTTTAAGTGCCTGTTACAATGTCAGTAACTTAGTACACTGCATTTAACTGTTGGAAAAAGTTGGAATGTTTACTGTCCATGTATAACTTACACGCACAGTATTGCCTTGTGACTGAGCAACTAACATTTGTTCTTTCATGTTTCAGTCTGTTCCTCTTTGGTATGACTACATAAACTTTGTGCAAGAAAATGATCCTTCAGTGCGTGAATGCTCGGTTGTTGGTGTCTCAAAAGCTAGAAATTTGTTTGAGCGTGCTCTTACTGGAGCTGGGCTTCATGTAACTGAAGGCAATAAAATCTGGGAGCCATACAGGGAATTCGAGCAAGCTATATATCAAACCATCGATGCATCTGATGCTGCGGTGAGAATACCGTGCCCTTTCTTGGCCCATGGCTTCGATGGTTTTACTTCTGGTCCTCTTGTTCACGAACTGAATCTTTAGGTCTATTTGAGAAAAGAAGAGTGTTAAGGCGTCTCTTTACGGGGAGGGGATCCCTTCTCTCTTTTCAAATGTATATGAGCAGCATATTTACCTAGATCATGATACAGGAATGCTATAAATTGGGCTGTGCTACTTGTTATGACAGTGCTATATTACGGATAGAGCAGTTGGTTCCTGAGGTGGGCTCACTGTATGCTCCAAAGTGTTACTTTAGGTCATTGACTATGTCATACAAGAAATTTCCTGCTTTGAGTTATGAGAAGTAATTTCTTGTGTCCAGGTCTCTTCATATTTCTGGAAAACTCCAAATTAGGTTGTAGAATGTACAAGAGCTTATTCACAATCTAGGTGTGTGAAATCTTTAGGGTTTCTGCGGGTAGCTAATTTATTGAGTTACCTTGGTGTTGTGTCTCCAATTAGGGGCGGATGGATATGCATGAAAAGGTGTACTTCCAAGATGGCCACATTATTTATAGTTTTCGAAGCTGCAATTAGCAAGCAATTTGGTGTCTTAAAAGCTGTCCCAACAGTTTTCCAGGTTGCTTTGTAATTCCTGTGCAGAAAACTAAACCATTAGGATATTCTTGAAATCTACTTTTATGTTGCTTCTCATGGTACTGAATGAGGGAATTGCATCGATGTAGTGTTATCCAGTTCTCATAAACGTGTTCCAAGTATTTCAATTGGTTGATTGTTGGGCGAATAGCAAATAACAAACTGTAGAATGATATGCACAAGTTTGCACCTTGCATGCCTGACAAATGGAACTCTGAATTCTCTTGTTAAATGACTTAACCTGCCATGGCGTCTTTAAGTTCTCATGATGTACTTGAGATAAATTTGTGGAGTTGGTTGTTGCGCAAATCAACATGTTAGGGAATGGTGCTTACTATTTTATTCCCTGTACTGCAGGCAAAAGATAAGCAGGTTCAGCGAATTAGGAATATTTTCCACCGCCAATTGTCTATTCCTCTTGTCGACGTGGAGAGTACTCTTCGAGTTTACAAGGCTTGGGAGGCAGAACAAGGGACTTCACAAGATGTTGAATCCTATGATGTCAGCAAGAGCTTTCCTCATGTTGCCTCTGCATACGAGAAGGCTCTCGATATGTATAATGCTCGTGTAAATTTTGAACAGCAGATATCAAGGCAGGATTTGTCTGATACTGAAAGACTTCAACAATATATGGTATACAGCTTATTCGCTAATTTTCTCCTGGGCCCATCAGAAGCAGAAGTTGGAAACTTCCTTTTTTATTTTCCTGATATTTGACTGTCTAGTAGCTGGAAAGAAGCAGTTTGCATGGATTATGTCTTACAATGATATGTTTGATTTGTTCCAGATTTACTTGAAATATGAGCACTCTGTGGGAGATCCAGCACGTATACAAGTTCTTTATGAACGTGCTATCACTGACTTTCCTATATCAAATGATCTTTGGCTCGATTACACTCGCTACATGGACAAAACATTGAAGGTTCTGCTTCACGAACCTGTTGTTGATTGTTTTTGGGGCAGCTTTCGGAGGGTAAATTGTTACATTCATGGTTCATTTTTAGGCAGGTGATGTAGTGAAGGACGTCCACTCAAGGGCCACAAAGAATTGTCCTTGGCTTGTTGAGCTGTGGGTCAGATATTTACTTTGCTTGGAACGTGGTCGCTCTTCTGAGAGTGAGATTTGCTCGGTATGTTTTTGCTCTTACTATAGAATTAGTCTTTCTTCTTTTATCTGGTGACTGATTTGAATGAGGTGCTCTTAATTTGCTTGGACCCTTTTGTTTTGGCTTTTCTAAAGCATAAACATACATATCGACTTGCCCCAATACTTAAATTATATAAAGTAGAATAATACGAAGAATAAATATGATTATTATGTTGGTGTTTCTATATTTTGAAATGTTTTAGGTGTTTTTGTTAATTAAGAATCATATTTGAGAGCCGCTTTGACAAAATAAAAAAGTTGAAAGTAAAAGTCACGCCAAACAGACATATCCTTGTGTTGTTCTCTAAACTTTGCAGTTTTGATGACGGTTATGCTAATCAGCAAATTGAGAAACTGCCTTTAGCTCTAAACTAAAATGGCTCCGCCTATTAATCTGCTTAAATGATTGACAGTTTGGAAGGAATCTTTTGTGTGTAATAACTTGATTCTAGAAGCCGCTAATATGATGAAATTGTTTTCTTTTTACACCGCCATGTTTGCCCTTATAGACACTACCAGTTAATGCATGGATAGGAAGGTGAACTTTCGCATATGCACTGCATTTGTTGTTGAGTGTGTGCAACCTTGAGTTTGCGTGCGGTCAGGCTTGTGCACAAGTTGTGCCTGTGTGTGGGTAAACTGGTCCATGGTGTGTGCTTATATTGTGTATAACTTGGAGGTGATTCTAACTTTGATTCCATGTATTAAAGTAGATAAATATGGTATGTTTTAGTCCACCTTAGAGAAATATTTTGGAATTTCTTTTTTATCCTCGGTATTATTGAAATTTAATCCCATGGTTTTGTTCCTATTCCGTTTCCATAATATCCTCTTTATTGAGATTGGCTGAGTATCTCGTCTTTTATTCGACTTTTCTTACTAATGCTGTTGCCAGAATGATGTTATCTTGTTTTGCCAGACTATGTAAGAAGTTCTCTAAGATTGTATTGTTTGATAACTTTTGTTATGTGTATATTTCGAGAAATTCTTCATGAATAGAGTTTTCAACATTTGAAGAAGCACTTTTGAAATTAAAAAAAAAAAAAAAACACATGATTCAATTGAGTGGTTATGCTTACTTCCACTTATCACTAAAAGTATTTTTGTTTACTTTCAGGTTTTTGAGAAGTCATTGCATTGTACCTTTTCGACCTTTGAAGAGGTACTGATTCTAAACTACATTTGTACTTCTTGGTGTTTTATGTTTGCCATATATATATAGAAGTTTCATATCAACATCATTTTTTTTTTATTTCAGTACCTGGACTTATTCCTCACTCGTGTAGATGGCTTAAGGCGAAGAACTTCCTTTGCCGGGGAACTAGAGGTTTCCTCGGATTATCAACATATAAGGGAAACCTTTCAGGTGACTGCAAAATTATGAGTTTAGACTATATTGTTTGAGTCATAGGCCTTAGGCATGATATATTGCGTTGGTAGTAGAAGCTCCTCTCTGCCTAATTGTTTTCCTCAAGAGATCCCGTTAACACTCTTCAACTGAGAAAGCGATACAAAAGTCCCCCAAGTATCGAAAATTTTGACTGATTATGGATTAAATAGCATTGTTTGAGATAAATTTGATTTACATGCTAAGCTAGCTTGAAATTGGATCAGTTAGATTCTCCGCACTCTTGATTTATCAGGCCTTGCTTACTAGACGTATTCTCTAACTTAGCTAATTTTATAAAAATAGCGTCGTGGCTGTAAACTTCGTTTCATTTTTAAAATCTTACCTCTCTCTACCTAAGGACTTAATTTTGGGCATAGTGGCACTTTGGCAGTTGCATCTTAGGGAATATTTGATGGAGAATAAATGGTCTAGTACTCCTAGACGGTTTAATGGTTAGAGAGGTGTTTCTTTTTAGCAGCCTTTAATTCTTGAATATAACACAGAGAGGCAATGAGTAAGCAATCCTTGATAATGCAACCTCTATGGACTGTAACTATTCTTTCCTTTAATTTCAAGTATCCTTGTTTGGTTTACCCCTGTTTCCATGTTCCTATTTTGACCGGTCTTTACTTGGTACATGTGTAGCTTATTAACACAAGCACGTATTATTTATCTTCTCCTAGCGTGCTTCAGATTATTTAGCACCTCACCTGAAGAATACAGATGGTTTACTACGTCTGTATGCTTATTGGGCTCGACTGGAATCAAAGTTGGCTAAAGATATAGTCTCTGCCCGAGGAGTTTGGGAGAGCTTGTTGAAGATCAGGTTCCACCTCATCACTTCTGCCGTGCATGAAGCATTCAGTACATGGTACTTTTGCTTGTTTTTTGTCTAACATGGCTATTAATGCAGTGGTTCAATGTTGGAAGCTTGGCAAAGTTATATAGCAATGGAGATTGAGCTGGGACATATGCGTGAGGCGAGATCAATCTATAAGAGATGCTACAGCAAAAGATTTCCCGGATCCGGATCCGAGGTAATCTCATCTTTATCATTTGATTAAGCCATCTTTTGTTTTGTAAGTAATTTTGTCCTTGTAGATATTTGTTGTTAATCTTCTTTCTGTTGATATCACTCTGTACATTTACTCCATTTACTTTTCGGGATATTTGGAGTTAGGAATTTACGGAGTTTATTATGGTTGAATTCTTTTTTGTGAATCATACAACCACGTATGAAGTTAACAATTGAAAATTAAAATGTTTGGTTTGATATGATATATGGGAAAAATGGCACCACTGAATAAGGATTTTAGAAGTATCCATAATTTGACTAGATTGTTAGAAGATATTGCTTGTACAAGGTTTTTTCATGGTGTTACATCTAGAAAGAAGATCCGTTACACCGTTTCAAAGCAATTCAAATCATAGGTACTCTTGCTGCTAGTCACTTTTACATGAATTGGCGGTTGCTGACGCATTCGATTTTGGAATGCCATTGATGGATAAACAGAGTCAACCATGTTCTGCATTATATATCCTCTTTATAATTATCTGACATTCAATATAAAGTGTTGTGAAATGTCAAGACCATTAAGAGGAAAGATTTCTGCAAAGGGTCATATGACAAAGAATTAGATTCATTCTTATATTAGCTCCTGATCACTTCTAACAATTCATAATATCTCTTAAAACTACATGGTGAATTATCGCTTTGCCATTAAAGGTTTATTTCAAGTGAGGCATCCTTCAGCTTTCTCACTGGTGCTCACATGGGCCTGTCTGATTGTTATTCTTTATTGCACTGCCTCTGTATGTTTGTTTTTCTTTTTCTTTACTTTTTCTTATGTCACATATCTTTATTATATGGACTCTGATGGCAATCAAAGTGCATTTTCCGGACTTGGAAGTTGCTGCCCTGCACTCCCATATTACATGGTCTTTTGCTTCTAAGCTACCCAATTGATTGTTGCTGATAATCTAGTGGCTGGATTTTGAGCATTTACTTAAAAAACAGACAAATGGGCAACACTAGCATTTAGTCTAGGAAATGTTATTTTTATCTTGGAAAGAAATTGATGTCTGGTGATGCCTTGGAGAAGCACTCGGAGATTTGATGATGTCATTTTCTTTCCACCAGCATTTGCTCACTTCCTCTAGTGTGTAATAGTGCTGGTTGTGGGGACTGCTTCTTTGGGAAAGAAATGAGGAATTTGTGCCTAGTCTACTCACTCCATCACTTCTTCAGCTGCTCAGTAGTCAGTATAGTAGTTTCAAAATTCAGATGCATAATCGGAAGCTTAAAATGCTAAATATATTCTATTGTCTTTCTTGCCGCATCGCTTCGCCAAAATTTCTTATTCTGTCCTGACGAGTCAGGGGGAAGCCGATGTTCTTGGCCTTGGCATGTTTCAAGTGGAGTTCTGTTGTTGTCAATTTGACCAGGGATAAACCCTATCCTTGTTCTGGAAAATTACAGTTTTAACAGGAAATGAAGGAATTTCCTGATGTTTTCGAGGTTGATAAATATATTGGGAGAGTGAGAAACTAGAAGGAAAACATAGTTTGATTAGTTCGATAGTATAATTATTTGCATTGCCTTTTACTTATTCTTGTTTCTTTATTAGAATTCATTAAGCATTGTACATGTAAGTATTTCATCATCTCTCCAGAGTTTCTGTTTGCTTGCCATGTACTACAACTTGAATTAGATGATATCTCCACTTTCTAAAACACAGAACTGTTTAGGAGGTGTGCCATTCGTGGTTACGCTTTGAGAGGGAATATGGTACTCTAGAAGACTTGGACCATGCCTTACAAAAGGTATGTCTGTCTTCCAACTTTTATCCTTGTCAGGAGATAAAATGAAGACAAGTTTGGCTTTGTTTCTCTGTGTGTTTGATGCAGATCTTGACTGTCAACTATCTTTTTTTTCTGAGAATCCATTGTAGTCCTTATAGAATGTTGACTAGGATTGGAAACTGCATGATGTGACCTTTAATTGCATTGCAGGCTAATGTGCTTGAGAAGACTTTGATAACTGAACTGATAGGCTTAAATAGAATAAGGTTGATGATGGTATTCTACCCAATGGCAGTAGGCATCATCCTAAGACTTTTCTTTCTGTGTTCATTTTCCCTGATAAGTGGTTTGCTTCTTCACAAGAAACTATTGATGATGTCTATTACGAACCGATTTATGTAGACTGTGAACTTTCTTTTATATATGTTCTAATTATGGGGTAATTTTAGAGCTTAATGCATTGAGTTAGCTGATCTATGAAACAATTCTAATCTTTGGATGATTGGCTTGGTTTTCTTTAAGGTAATGCCTCGTTTGGAGGAGCTTAAGTTATTTACGTCGCAGCAAGAGTCAAGAACAGCAGACCAGAAGGATAACAATATCAGGAAAAATGATCGTGAGAAGAGAAAGTCTGGAGCAGACATAACTGACGAAGAGTCTCCAGCAAAACGGCGAAAAGACGCTTCACAGATAACAAAAAAATCATATCTGAAGGATAAAGGTCAAGCGCAGAATGCATTTGAGTCAAGAAAAATTGGGGACGAAAAGACAAAGAATGGAGATGGCATGGACCAACAAGAGATGAAGGGCTCCGCTCCTGATACTAAATCTAAAGCATATACTGACCAATGCACTGCATTTATATCGAATCTTGACCTTAAGGCAAGTATATGTCATGTCTACTCCTTTCCAAGGGACTTAGTATAAAAGACAAACTATGATGTATATAATTGCCTTTTCTCACCTTTTCTCATAAACTTTACCTGACATGAACTTTTCATTTTTTTATCGTTACAGGCAAATAATCACCACATTCGCGAATTCTTCAGTGATGTTGGTGGTGTGGGTGAAATTCGAATTCTACATGATAAATTCACTGGGAAATCCAGGGTCTCTCTCTCTCTCTCTCTCACACACATGCGCGTGCGCCACCCACCCACATGCATATACTCATTGCACACTTCCCCCTTCCCCAAACACACACAGACAACACGAAAGATAAAATGGGAGAAAACGGGAAAATTTCCATCCATGGTCACTGATATATAGTAGTATTTGTATCTAGGCCATTGAGTATTAATTCAATCGCCTAATGTACTAAACTTCCAATCCTTTGCTATTGATACACTTTGACACTTTTATCGGAATTGGCAAATTTTCTGGCAAAATGCTGACATGGGGCCCACATTGCAATGACGTAGCATCCAGAAAAGTGGCCACATGTTGGTCATGCCAACAATTCGCCAGAAAATTGGTTGGGTTTTGGTCAAAGTGCATCAATTTAAAAAATGTAAAAGTCTAGTGCAATGAGTGATTAAAATCAAAATTCAGTTTCCTGATTGCAAAATCCATAAAATGTTTAGTAACCGCAAATGGAGTATATTTGAAAAAACACATCTATTGATGCAATAGAATTGGAGGTGGTTGGTTAAGCTACCAAAATGATCTTTTAGTTGAATTACTTGCGACATGCGAGTCAAGGCTTCAGTAATTGCAAATGATTCTCAGCAGCTGCTGCCACGTATGTCTCTTCTCTATCTGAATTGTTCATAGTGATCTCATATAATTTATGACCCAAATTCAGTTTTAATGATGGTTTATCAATTAGCTGTCAGTTTTTCATATTTAACTATGAACTGATGCTTTTCCTTCGTATAGTTCAGAGGGAAATAGCCTTTCTATTTCTTTTTTTTGGGAAACAAAAAATAGCCTTTCTATTATATGGTAGGATTGATGGTGGAATTTGCTTAGATGCATTCCACATGGTGGTATAGGGGAAACCCTGGTTGACTAAATTTTTTTTTAACAGAATCATTTTGTTGTATGGCATTTCTTCATGTGAATATTACATCCTGCGATAGAATAAGTTTGATATCTCCAACTGCCACAAAACAGGATATATCCCACATAACAGAAGGAAACTTCCTCCTGCAACTTTCCGGTTTATTTGGATGGAAAGAAAATCAAAAGCATTTGAGAGTCTAGACTTTAACTTCTCTTATGAAAATAATATACGATATGGTTACAACATTTGAGTTTATGGGTTGCTGAAAAACCTCTTTTCAACTTAAGTAGTTTGTTAGGCTTTGTAGTTTCTCTTTCTCTATAAGTTTGTTTGGGGATGGTACCCTCTGTACTTTTCTTATAACATTTTATATTTTAATTTCATGAAAACAAAAAATGCAGAAGGAAACTTCCACGTTGGTTTTGACAAGGATTTTGTGAGTTAATTCTTCAATTTTATACAGTCCTATTCGATGATTGCTGTCATTGTTGTATCTACATTTTCAGTCTCTTATGGTAAATTATTTTGCATTGGCCTAGGGGAAACCCTAATTAGTTTTAGTTAAAGATCACTGTAGATCTTGTTATAGTAGAAAAGAAAAATATTTTCCTGGTCTTTTCTTATCGTCTGTATTATCCTGCAACTTTGCATGCTGATGTTCAATATTTTGATCAATTTGCTAGGGACTGGCATATGTTGATTTCATCGATGATGCTCACCTTGCTGCAGCTGTGGCAAAGAATAAGCTTATGCTCTTAGGAAAGAAACTGAGCATTGCACGTTCAGAGCCAAGGAAAAGCAGAAAAGAATCTATGGGTCACAGTGATCATGCGGAAAGTGGTAAGCATTTTCTGGATAATATGTTCTCCATCTTCTGGCATTTGTTACAACCAAAAAGAATATGTTCTCCATCTTCTGGCATTTGTTCCACCATCCTTCAATCTTTGTAGTTATTGGTTATTTGATCTTATTTCTCCAGATATGATTGTTCAGTTCTCTAATTTCTTTGCAGACTTGTTCTTTTGTCGGTTTAAATAACGAACATCACCAAGGTGTTTGAACTCTCAATTTCTGGTCCCTAGCGATCGTTTCCACTGATATAGGGCACTGTTTCTCCTTCCTTGCACTATTTTCAGGATAAGGGAACAGAGGAATTTCAGTTATTTTCTTTGAAAATGAGTTCCCTGAAAACCTTTCTCACATACGAGAAGTTTTCAGCAAAACAAATAGAGCTTTAGAATGCAAATATCTAATGAACAGCGAATTTTTCCTAATATCTTTTCCTTGTCCTTTTCCTAACAATTATTTTACCCTTTGCAATCCGATTATCTAAGGATTGTTTCAGTTGGTGCGAAGAATAGTTTCTTGGGTTCATCATTGCTTATTCTGCTTCTTTATGTTTTCATATCTTGGTTGGTCATGCTTGCAAGAATTCTCTGGTGAGCTCTTGATGAGTATTTTGCAAGAGGGCTCAATGTAATTATTTTGAAAATTCGTGCACAGAGAAGCCAAAATCTTTGTTTCTGACCAAATTTACTATCATCGATTGAGTTTGACAAAGATTGTGTGCCATCTCTTTAAACCGTCTTATCAGCAGTTCAGTCCTTTATATCTTTTTCCTTCACATATTGTGACGGGTCAAGAGGAAATGTACCTATTTTACAATTGGCTCGAGAATGCACTTTCCTGCAATCGGAGTGGCACTCAGGTTAATCGTGCTCTATTTTGATCAATGTGCCAAATTCATGATTCTGTTTTTCAAATGGTTGCAAAATTCACTCTTGTTTTTAGGGTTCCAACATAAGGTTGTTGTTTCTTAGCTTATACACTGTTGATTCTTTTTGTCTAATACCAAGAACCATTATTACATTTGGTCATTGTTGGAAGGAACTTTGTTAGTTTGGTTGATCTGCAGATTTCCTGATGTCACACTATGATAAACAACACGTGTGTTGACATACAAATATCCTTCCTTTAGTTTTTCATTAGTGGTAAACTACCGTAGACAATTTGGTTCTCATTTCAAATTTGTCCTTAAGTGGCTTTCCTTATTGTTGTTTCCTTGTCAAGCTGCTGTGACTTCGGAAGATGGTGCATTGGCTGCTTTGTATTTTTTTGTTTTCATTGGACCGGTTACTTCATTTTCTTTTTGATTTTTTGTGCAATTCATTCAAAGTCCAACTGCATAGAGATCGTTTTGGTACAGTAGGTAGATCGACATCTAGGTGGTCCACGGCACCTCAAAAATCAAACTATTCAACTAGTAAGGGGAGAGGTGAGCAGGTCCAGCTGACAGGGAAGAACACATTTGCAAGACCAAGGAATCTTAAACCCTTAGGTTGGGATGCAAATAAGCCAAGAACCAATGAAGCAGAGGACGAGAAGCCCAAATCCAATGACGAGTTCAGACAAATGTTTCTTAAAAGATGATTCAGTGAGTGCCTTGGTTCAGACAGGTTCAGGACAAGTGTTTCAGCTAATTACCGTGACTGTGATTTTCTTGTTCATATACAATGGATTAAACTACTATTGGAGGATAGCTTTGCTTCAATGCAAAGGATACATGAGCCTCAGAAGAGTGATGAATCTGTTGAGGTTGAGTAGTATATGAGGCTCCAATTTCAAACTGTGATGTAGCTTTACTACTAGGTGGTCACAGGTCTAGAGTTTTTGGGTGACCGAAAAATCACTTTTGAACAGTTTGCTGAACTCTGTAGAGTTTCTCTTTGTAAGTTGGTATGGGGAAGCACCTCCTCGCTTTGGAACATATCTTATATGAAATTTTTGTTTTGCTTATGAAAACAAATCACTCATGAAAAGTTAATGTTGTCCTCACCCAAACGCAATGAAAAAGCTCTTGCAGAAAACCTTGGTTAATGGTGATTTTTGGTTGGTATCTCTAAAAGCTAAATTTTGATGACAAATATCATCTGCAAATTTCCTGTTCATTATACTTGCGGTCATAGTTTGTTAAAATGAGATGTGTCATAAATCGAAATCTTAAATTTATGGATTGAGAATTAAGTCGAATAGTAAGATTTGGTAAAGCACCTAAGCTTAGTATTTTGTATCATTATCATTACGATACTATAAATTACAAAATGTTGAGTAAGATTTAGGGATAACGATATAAAGGGTCACTAAATTATGACCCAACTTTTGTTATATATTTAATTTAATCCTTAAACAATATGAAATGGTTAATATTTTCCTTCCATTAATTCAAGTTCAGGAACAATATTGAAATTTATATATAATCCGGGGACTAAATTGAACATTTACTAAAAGTTCAAGAATCACATTAAAAAATTTAAAAGTTTAGGGATAACATTATACGTTGGGCTAAAGTTCATAAAGCACATTAAACAAATTAAAAGTTCAAGCACATTGGATCAAAATTTAGAGACTATTTGTGTCAGTATCCCTAAGATTTTTGATCTATGAAAACGGTATTTTAGTTGTGATTACGTGTGATGATTTCTACGCATAATTACCAATTGTTTCATTAAAATGCGAATTAATTTCAAATATCACAAATCTTTATATGTCATTTCATTTGATATTGCACCGGAAAGCGCAAAATTTGCTTTCAGTTATTCTGTAACTATCAAAATATAGCATGCATCATATAACGTGACACACCTAACACCATTTGATAGGTAGATGTGTAAGAAATTGAATGGTTGGAATTTATAGAATAAATATTTAATCGTAATTTCACTGGTGAATTGAAATATATTTTACTCGTGATTCGGAATATTACGATTTAAGTAATAGAAACATATTGCTCAGACCTTGAATTAAATCGTGTCATATAACACCAATCGAGCTATCTGCAAAATTTACATTTTGGAAATCCTCATAAATCAAAGCGCGGGATTTGAATATAAGAGATACAAACGGAGTGCCGGCCATCGACAACTGGGACTTGTATTGGGCCGGCCACCCAGGCCCAGTTAGCAATCCAAAGCTATCAGAATGGGCCTCCTCCTCCTCCTTCTTCTATGATGGGCTTATGCATTTCTTCTTCTTCTTCTTCTTCTTCTTCTTCGTCTCCTTGTTTTATCATCTCGTTCTCCGATGGGTTTTCCTCTACATATTCTCCATAGTTCGTCTCATACTCTCATTTGGTAATAAGCTATATATATTCTTCCATATCGATCAATCGATCGGTCTGACAATCTCGAGTTCGCTGAGAACGCAACGATGCAAGGGGAAGAAGAAGTGAGCATCGAGGAGCTCTCCTCCAATCTCTCCACTTACAAAGACCAACTGCGTCAGGTAACTCTCTCTTCCGTTCCGCCATTCCGATCTTTCTCTTCTTTCTTGGTTTTTTCGATTGAGTGATGGCGCGATTCTTTTGTTGCTTCAGTCGGCCGCCAATAGTTGTCCCCGACTGGACAGCAACCTCTCCTATGGTTTCCATCGCCATCCCTCTTCTCTACTTAATGAATTCGCCTTTAGACGGTCCCATTCCTTCTCTCGCCTAGAGACAATTGCCGCTATTCCCCCTCGCCCCCTCGTGCGAATTAGGGTTTCTTTCTTGAATTCCTGCTTTGCCGCCTCTGTCTTTGCTTGCTCTTCTTTTGGCCCCCCCCATCAGAATCTAGGGCTTTTCCTTTACTTTCCTTCTGATGGCCTTAGGCTATGGGTCGAGAGAATCGGATGTTTTGAGGTTGTTTTTGGTTGGAAGGAATGAGGGGTTTATATGGACAATGGCGCCCGTGGGGTTTGACACCCCCATTGACAGGGACTAAACAGTATCGACACTTACGATATTCTTCCGAATTGAAAAATGCGTTGGATTAGAAGCTCATCTGTGAGCAAAAGATAAAAAGTATATATCGATAACGCCTGTGAGCAGTATCATAGCGTGTTTGTTCTTAAAATTCGGTTTCCTATATGACTCCTCTCTGATCTGTTTTACAGGTCAGACAGCTATTGGTTGATGATCCTGGAAATTCAGAATATGCCGATATGCAGAAGGAACTTGAAGAGGTTTAATTTCACATGGATCTCTTTGTTTTGTCTTTTGTGTTATATTCTAGTTTTCTCTGGTCATATTTGTTTAATCGATGCGGACTGTGTTCAAATGTAGCATTGTGTCTATGATCTACATGTGTTCTGATGAAGCTTACATTAGAGGTTATTATTGCTTTCTCGTGGTTTAATCTTTTTTAGTGCTTCAGCAACTTATGTCAATTAACTGATGATGGCTGAGGTGGAGTGTTGCTCGAATCTATTTAATGTGGAGGATGGATTCATGTTAAGAAGCTCATGATCTTTTAGAGCGGGAGCTACACAGTTGGAGAAAACTAGTGAAGCTTCTTCGGAAGTTCTAGAAATTTGGAGTAATAATAATGGCCATTACTTCTATAATCTTTCCTTTGCAGGACCGTTTCGGCTCTGATGGACCACGTGCTACTATTTCTCTCTCTTCCCCCTGATTTCAGATATCCACACTGAGAGTCTAAGTTCGAGTTTTACTTGAATTTGGACTTCATGATCTTAGCAGTTGAGTGATTAGGTTTTTGTTTGAGCTGAATCTTTTTTTTTTGCAGGTTATTGCTTTAACCGAAGAGCTGCTCGCAACTGCTAGGCAAAATGAGATTTCTGTATCAGACATTGGGAGAAGTGCCAGTGAATCCCTTAGTTTTTCCCAGGCAAAGGGTTCCTCAGAAAAGAAAATGGTTCCTTTTCACTTTCGTTTTTATATTTTTTTATTTCATTTGATAATATCTATTACATCTTTTTATGGAGAAATTGTGTGCCAAAAGAACATATGAGTCCAATCTAACAGGTGATCGACTAGTAGACAGGAATCTATGGAAAGCAAACAGAATGAAAACTAAGAGACTTCCCATATTCTTATGGAGACCATGCCCATCACATGGTTTCCTCCTCCTTGAATGACATGCTGGCAACCTTATGCTGTAGTTTAAACTTTTATTGAGACCTTTTGCAAATCTTGTCTGTATAGAGGTGCATTATGTGTTATGATGACATGAATTTAGTAATCTTGAGCTGAAAAGATGGCATGGGGTTCCATGCCAGAGGTGAGGGGATAAGAGTTTCAGCAAGACATAGGGGATTAATGAACAATGGTGATTAGCATTTGATAGTCGAAACTTCCGTGAAAGCATGGCAAAATTTTACATCTTGGTAAAGATTTTGATGCTCTTGGACTAGAGTTTTTGTGAAACTAGGCTGCGAGTCTTATTGGCTTGCATTTGTCTTCTGAGATTACTTAACAAAGGTATTTTTACATGGACGAAATTAGCAATAATATGAGAAAAAAGAAAATGCAAATGTTATATTGGCCATCCTCTTTTTGGGTTATTTGGTGGAAAAGAACATAAATTTGGGGAATGAAGAGAGATATATCTTGAAGAAACAGTTTCTTTGGTCACAAATTAAAGTCCAGGACATCCTGAGGGGAAGACACTTCATTGCTACTGGGTATTAGGGAGGGATGGGGCCCAATAAGTCCTGATTATTTTGCAAATCCAGCAGGCTTTTAAACTAAATACCCAAACTTGGTTCATGTAGGTAGTTGAGAAACCCGGACCCGCCTGTCTCTACCTATTATTGGTTTCTTCAACATAATATTTTTGCTAGATACGCTATCCAACACCAAGTGGATGATTCGACCTCAAATATATTAAGTGATGGTCACAATGTATAATAGTCGAACAGAGTCTAAGTGACAGTCATAACATATAATAATTGGGCATAGAATCGCCCCCTAAGGCACTAGAGCTGACTAAGTCCATCTGAAGGTTACTTAAACCACAGGAAGGAGGAACAACTAAAGTGTAGATCTAGCATTTCTTTGCCCATGTTGGCCAGGATGTCCAGATTATCTGAGAAAAAACACTGCTTGTTAAATTTTAAATTATAAAATCTGCTACCCCAAAACTCTACCCTAAATAGAACAGAAATTTGAAAGTTCTACCACCAAGATCAGTAGCGAAGAGCTTTAACCACAAAACTTTCCTTAAACACCTGCTACCCACCGACATCTGCATAGATAATAAACAAATAAAAACTTCGACAAGATCAGTTGCTATGGTATAGACTCTTGAACCCGTGGTTGTGTTTTTTCAGTCACTTGCTTTCCTGCTGTCACCCACCAGAGCTACCGTCCTTGTGGCATTGCTGCTGCATGAGGGGTGTGCAAGTGCCTCTGTGTGTGTGTGTGGGAGAGAGAGAGAGAGAGACCCACCAGAGCTACCGTCCTTGTGGCATTGCTGCTGCATGAGGGGTGTGCAAGTGCCTCTGTGTGTGTGTGCGCGCGTGTGTGTGTGTGTGAGAGAGAAAGAGAGAGAGAGAGAGAGATGGCTGCTGTGCACGGGCTTGCATTTTTGGGTGAATTTCTCAGTTATTGGGAGGCCTGAAGACTTGCCCTAGGCATGCCTGGGGATACTATAGATAGAAATCTTGTTTATTTGCTTGATATTAATGGATATGGAGATTCTTTGGGCATTATGGGATGCATCCCCTCGTATTCTGAGGGATGGGTCGTCTCCTATCTCAAAGCGGTTTGGTGTGAGATTCTAGCAAAAGTACTGAAATGTAGAAATTGGTGAAGCAGTAGCTAGTCTTATGTCATCTTTTTATCTTTTGGTGCAGCAACCTGTTTCTGACAATCATGAACTCCTTTCTATTGGGTCTAAAGTTCAAGCAGTTTGGAGTGAGGACGGTGAATGGTATGTGGAAATTGAAAGGCACTGCTAGTTTTCTTTTCCCCTTTTGGTGCCCTTGATG